TAAAGGACAACCAGCAGTTTGGGTACATTTACGTTCTTGGGGAATGTTGATTAATCTACCCTATCCGTTGTTGTGACAATAAATAAAACAAATCAGGAAATCATAGACTTATTTGTAGCTCTGGGATCATTATTATGCACTTCTGCTGCGTTTGATTAGCCACAATGTTATCTCGTGAGAAAACAATGATATTCCTCCCTTCACTTTTTAATTTTATTACAACATATATGGGACTTTTGTTTTGAAAATGAGAGGCTCAGATTGTTCACTGTACATTACTGAGCAACCACTGCACCAGACATGTTCAAAAGGATGCAAGATGCAGTATTTACATATAATACATTTATTCAGCCTCACTCCTAAGAGGTCTAAAAGATGCTTAACTGTTTCTTCTGTTAATTTACAGTGAAATTAGATGTGTATGTTTCAACAAACACACGAAGATTCTAAATAGTGTCAAATCATTCTGCTCAACTGCATGTTCATGCAAAGGTTGAGACCTCCTGGCTTTGTTTTCTTTGACATTATAGCCTAAAAATACAACACAATACATCTCTTTTACTCTCTTTTGTGATGTTTAATTATAATTTAGCCTTTATTCACAACAGATCTCGCAACAAAATAAGTAAAGTTTACTCTAATGGGTTTATATTAAAGAGCGTACTCACTACATGTAGGTAAAATTAACCTCCACCTATTAAGGTTAAGAGATTTAACGAGGCATCTACTTGATTTGTTAAAATAGTTTTTTGACAATTAAGCATAATCCTGCTCGTATTCAGTTTATATCATGCTCTGTGTGTGTGTCAGTGAGAGGTGCACAGAGCAGAGTTAATAAATAATTCATTAATAATAGTGACCGATCCAAATATGGTCAATTATGGACCTTCTGATTGTAGGTGTATTTTAGAGAGGGTGCTCGCTGCAGAGCCATTTGAGGAGAGCTGAGCTCCAGCGAGGGGGAGCATGAGCTGTCGCTCCTCCTCCTGTAAGCTGTTTTAATGCGTACACCAACCCCACCCCTAACCCTACCCCCAGTGACATCACTCGTAGAAGAAGTGGAAAAAAGGTGGAGCTCAAGCTTAAGCTCCCCCTAGCTGGAGCTCAGCTCTCCTCAAATGGCTCTGCAGCGAGCACCACTTGGTATTTTATGCAGTAATAAATGAGCTTACCCAAGCCATATGCCTACTATGTAGATATCAGACACAATTTAAGTAATTAAAAACCAATACCATATGGCACCTTTAAAGGCTCGTTCTAAAGCAGGGGTCACCAATCTCGGTCCTGGAGGGCCGGTGTCCCTGCAGGGTTTAGCTCTAACTTGCCTCAACACACCTGCCTGGATGTTTCAAGTGTATTTATTAAGACCTTGATTAGCTAGCTCAGGTGCGTTTGATTATCTGTAGGACACCGGCCCTCCAGGAACAAGTTTGGTGACCCCTGTTCTAAAGAATGAAATGTTCTCATTCTTGTCAAAATCAACATTAGGTTTATTGTAAGCATGTTTAAAAGGTTTGCTAAAGTGTAGATTCTGGTTGGTTATTAATAATCTTACCAATGATAAGCAGGTATAAATTTGTTCTGAAACTGATTTAAACAATATTATTCTAGCAACGTGGGGCTAAAAACGCAAAAGTACGATGACATTGGTAAAACAGAGTGGACCTCAGTAATATACTGAAATAAAAGCATATTACTTTGAAAAAGATGAGAAAAAAATAAAGGCATGGAACTTTAATAGCCAAAAAATGATACACGTACACGTACACACACACACACACTTTTTTTTTTTTTATAAAAAGTTAAAGGATGGCGCACCCAAAAATTAAAACGGACATATTTATGTATATTTCTTCACCCTTTGCTTTCAAACCTCACTATTTCATGGATTTATTTCTTCTGTAGTGCACAGAAGAAGATATTTTGTCCTTATTGTTGTTTTCTCTTCTATAAGTCAATGGTTACAGGTTTTCAACATACTTCAAAATATATTCTTTAGTGTCTAGAAGAAGAAAGAAAGCCATAAAGGTTTGGAATCTCTTGAGGGAGTTAATAGTGAGCAAATAGTGAACATTTCCAGTATTGAGTGAACTATATTCCTTTAAAAATATCAGCCACAAATAAATAAGTAAAGTGATTACTCTGAAATGTGATTACGATTTCATCAGCTGTGTAAAATATCTAAATGTTAATGTGTTTGCTGAATAAACCACTGATAACTGTAAAACACCAAATTAAAAAGCATTAGGTCAATATGTGCGTTACTACTATACTATACTCAAACTATTATTTTATATTGGTCTATAGTCATTTTCGGAAATAAACCGATATTTTCCTAAGGTGGAGATGACAGATATGCTTTGAAAAGGTCTTTAGTGCGCAGTAGCTCTAATGATGTAACACATCCTGGAACAAAACCGGTCTGCGGGCAGTGAGCATAAAGGGCTGCTAAACAGTGTGTTTAATGGCACAGTGGGCAAAGTGATAAATCACCAAACACACAGATCAAGTTCGCTTTAACAAAACCAATCTCCATTTGAAGCACACAATTGACTGACATCTGAACCCGGCTTTTAAACCACCATTAGGTGTTTTAACATTCATATGCAGAAAGATCAGCACTACACTATGAAGTTGAGTTTTAACTTTCGTATACAGAAAGACGAAAGATAATTACTAGGAAGTTGTGTTTTCCTGTGAAGTTGTGTTTTAACATTCATATACAGAAAGATCATAACTAGGAAGTTATGGTTTCCTGTATAGTGTTCTGCCAAAATGGCTCAAGCACCTGAAACGTAAATATGATTTGAGAGATTGATTTGCATGTACGAGGCACTCCCAGATGGACCAAATATTTGTCATGACGACCAGTTCAGCAGTGGTTTGCAAAGCATCATGATTTTCCTGTTTCTTAATCAAAATATAAACTCTCCATATCGGGATTTAATTTAGCGCATGTTTTTGTGGCAATGTAGTGGAGATCCATGACAAGGGCTGTTGTACATTTTTAAAGTGCTAAATAAACTGTATAAAAAAAAAAAAAAAAAAAAATATATATATATATATATATATATATATATATATACACATATATATATATATATATATATATATATATATACATATATATATATATACACACACACATACATACATTAATACACACACTCACTGGCCACTTTATTAGGTACTCCTGTCCAACTGGACGTAAACTCAAATTTCTAATCAACCAATCACATGGTAGCATGTAGACATGGTCAAGACGAACTGCTGCGGTTCAAACCAAATAGGGAAGGAAGGTGATTTAAGTGACTTAAAAAGTGGCATGGTTGTTCGTGCCAGACGGACTGGTTTGAGTATTTCAGAAACTGCTGATCTACTGGGATTTTCAAGACCAAACATCTCTAGGGTTTACAGAGAATGGTCCAAATAATAGAAAATATCCAGTGAGCGGAAGTTCTGTGGGCGCAAATGCATTGAGGAGGAGAATGGCCAGACTGGTTCCAGATGATGGAAAAGCAACAGTAACTCACAAAACCACTTTTTACAACAGAGGTATGCAGAAGAGCCTCTCTGAACGCACAACATGTTGAACATTGAGGCAGATTGGCTACAGCAGCAGGAGACCCCACCGTGTGCCACTGCTGTCAGCTTAGAACAGGAAACTGAGGCTACAATTCACACAGGCTCACCTAAATTGGACAATAGAAGATTGGGAAAACGTTGCCTGGTCTGATGAGTCTCGATTTCTGCTGCAACATTTGAATGGTAGGGTCAAAACTTGGCATCAAAAACATGAAAGCATGAATCCACCCTGCCTTGTATCAACGGGCCAGGCTGGTGGTGGTGATATAAAGGTGTGGGGGACGTTTTCTTGCATGCTTTGGGTCCATTAGTACCAATTGAGCATTGTATCAACACCACAGCCTACCTGAATTGCTGACCATGTAATTTATGACCACAGTGTACCCATCTTCTCATGGCTACTTCCAGCAGGATAACGCGCTGTCATACAGTGAGAATCATCTCAGACTGGTTTCTTGAACATGACAATGAGTTCACTGTACTTAAATGGCCTCCACAGTCACCAGATCTCAAACCAATAGTGCACATTTGGGATGTGGTGAAATGGGAGATTAGCATCATGGATGTGAAGCCGACAAATCTGCAGCAACTGCGTGATGCTATCATGTCAATATGGACCAAAATCTTTGAGGAATATTTCCAGTACCTTGTTAAATCTATGCCACAAAGAATTAAGGTACTTCTGAAGGCAAAAGAGGGTCCAACCCGGTACTAGTAAGGTGTACCTAAAAAAGTGGCCGGTGAGTGTAAAAGACTACATATACAGTTCAAAAAAAACAACTTGTAGCCCTCTTGTGAAATATTAATCCTTTTTCAAATAATTCTCAAGTGATATCTCCTGGGGCAAAGACATTTACAGTATTTCTGATATTTTTTCTTCTGGAGTAATTCTTATTTGTTATATTTTGACTAGAATAAAAGCAGTTTTACATTTTTTAAACCATTCAAAGGTCAATATTATCAGCCCCCTTAAGCATTATTTTTATTATTTACAGAATAATCCACTGTTACACAATGACTTGCTTTATTAACATAATTAAGCCTTTAAATTGCACCGAATCCTAATATCCGATTAACAGTATCCTGAAAACGATGTCATCATGGCAAAGATAAAATAAATCAGTTATTAAAAATGAGTTATTAAAACTATTGTGTTAAAAATGTGTGAAAGCTTTTCTTTAAACATAAATTGGGGAAAATAAATATAGAGGGGGGCTAATAATTCTGAATTAATCTGTGAAATGTGTCTTTTTGTGCAAGATCTTTTATCAAGCAAGTCCTAGATGAAATCATTGCTTTTTTAATACAAGTTTTAGTTTTACTAGTATCGATGCGTTTTTATTCCCCATTCATCAATCAATCGCGTAACTGAAACCAGACGGAAATGAAAACAGAATGCAAAACACACACAGGTGTCATTCCAGAAATAATTTATTTCACTTCCTTTTTAATCTTTTTTGTTTTTTCATGATGTGGAAAGTACAACCAAAAAAGAAAAGAAAAAAAAACAATCTTTGAGAGCAGGAACCAAGATGACAAGTAACAGCAAGGGAACAATCCTCCCCTTTTCATCGGGACAACCAGAAATACAACCAACGCTTGAACCTCCTGAGCAGAGACCCAAGCTCCATTCCTGCACACTGGAGTGTATTACAATGCTCTCGGATGTATGCATGTATGTGTGTGAACGAATGCCTGACTCTTCATCAGAAAAGGGTTTCACTGTTTACCGAAGACCAACCATCCACACCAGAGGGGGCGCCGGTGAGGCCTCAACCCCATCCAGCCCTTCAGACAGCGGTGGCTGGAAGCTACCGAGAGTGTGTGTGCACACGCATGCCAGCTTTTACACTCACAATAATCCTGCCTCCCTTCTCCTTATAACCGTATGGTGGGCTGTTGAAATACTGAATATGATCAACACTGTCTGTTAGATTGTTTCCGTCTCGGTCTTGTTCTATTGGGAAAGACTTGTGCCACCTCAATCAGAGAGATCGAATCACATTTGGGATTCTACTGTCGTCTCCTGGATCATGTGACGTCCTTCCCAATTTATACACTTTTACTTCATGTCTCACAACAACACATGAACAAACAGACACTCACTCGTACACACACACACACACACACATTAAACGGCTTTCAAATAACGACCTTGGACAAATGTCATAATTTCATGTTTGGCATTAATTATCGCTCTTCTCCCCCAAAATCCGCACTCCTCTTAATCCGCACAATCCTCTCCATCCTTTAGACAAAATAAAAACACCAAAAACAAAACGGAACCATCTACTTCATCCAGTCGAGAACGCAAACGTTAAGGTAAAAAGAAAATACTCAAGTTTTTTTTTTTCAAATTCAAGGCACAATGTCTCTCCGCTTCCCCTTTTTGCCCTTAAATTCAGAGTACCACAGACTCAGCTGTCAATCACTTGTGAGAGGCTCCGCCTTCAATCCTCTCCGCTAGCTCCGCCCTCATTTAGCTAACACTGTTTTCAGAGATGCTATATCTGTTGGGGAGTGTGTTCACAATCCCACGCCAGTGAGTACAAACAAACAAACGAAAACAAATAATGACGGCAACGACAACAGCAACAACGAAAACTAAAAAAATCTAAAACAAAACCCCAAAATAGTCACGTCCTGTTTTCTGTGTTACGTCAGAAATTTGAGTCATATCCATCAGCTCATTTTTGGCAAGCTTGTCTTAAATAAGCACTAAGTACTGATAGATAGGATAAACATACACCGTTATGTGTGGTTTAAAGTAGATGCGCTCGTCGTATTTTTACTTTTTTTTTTTTGTTTTCTCGTAGACTTCATGAATTCAAGGATTTTAGTCGATTTTCATTCGTCAGTTTAAAGGTTTACGTGAATGCAAGCAGGGACAGAGTTCGCCATGGTGTCTTGCTTTAGACGTGGGTCTTGAGGGGGCGAGATGACTTTTTAGGAGACGCCGTTCACCATGGCCAGAGCCTCACCGGGCGACGCCACGCCGTTACTGGGCGAGCGCTTTGAAGGAGTGCGCTCTTCCTTACTCACGCTGGTCCCGTTTTCCTGATGGAGAGAGAGATAAAACACTGTTGATGCTATGTTTTGAGTCTAATGCTAGTCAAGCTGTGCTTTAACCCGAAAGATTACTTTGAATATTTTATGGTGGTGGCACAGACATTTTACTCGGCTTTCAAAAAAGCAATACTTGTAAAAGAAACAATCAGGCCAGAATGTAGCATATATAATGATATACAGACAGACAGACACTCCCATCAACGAAGTATGAATAATCTTGTAAAGCATTAATCACAGTTCAACATTTACTATTGCGTTAAGATCCAAAATTGAGCTTGTTAACATTAGATAATGCACCGTAGGCTAAGACTGTAACTAACGTTATTAAACTTCAATAACATTAACCAATGTTAGCTAAAATGTAATAAATGTATTACTAATAGTTTTTTCATGTTAGTAAATACATTAATTTATGAACTGTCAATGTAAATTTTTACCAAAAAAACAACAAAACAAAAACGTACATGCACAGCAAAGACGTTCACAATCATGCATAATTATGTGTCTTGTGTTGTAGTATGTGCAGACCTTAGGATGGGACACGTGTGGGTTGGCCTCCTTCCCCGGGAGATTCTGTCTGCTCTGGGACTCGGCACGAGAGATGAAGTCAGCAACAGTAACTATACCAACAACACCGGCAACAGTAGTCAGAAGAGGGAAAGCAGCAGGGGAGATCAAACAGGTGGACTCAAATCTTGTAGCATTGAAACAGCTCTTACAGCTGTATTCACATCTTTTAGAAGCCATGACTTCATATTAACCACCCAAATTATTTACAATAATATACAACAACAGCCCAATTATATGGTCAAAATAAATTAGCTTTAAATATGATCAGAAGCAGAATCCCACCCTATCCAATCATCTGCCGACACATTTTACACATCTATACACATTTTTGGATGGGTTTTTGAATATTTAGTTGTTTATTATTATATACACAAGCGTACTTCTCTTCAAGCAGCTCTGCACAATCAGGTAATATGAAGTTATAATAAATTATTAGCACTAAAACACATGGCTTTGAATTGGCATTATTTCTACAGAACTGGCAACACAGAATATGATTTATGTGTATTGTGCAACTTAATATTTCCTCTCCATGCTGGTGCTCCTCCTACATTTGACCATTCCTCCTCTCTCATTAATGTAGATTATTAATCACCTGGCTGTCGGTCACGGCTGGTGGAGCCTCCTTCAGGACGGTTGGCACGATTACGGCGGCGGCGGCTTCGATTGCGGCGCTGAGGCCTGCCCTCCTCTTCTAAGAGGCAGAAACAAAGGAGGAGGAGAGCGTGAGATGCAATGGGACCAATTTGATTCCCATTGTTTCTCATCTGGGGCAGTTCTGTGAAATTCCCATTAGACGGATTTCCTTTGATGACTCATGGCCCAAAGACTTCCTAATATGGACATGCTTCTCTCGTGTGTACAGTAGGGGTGTGTAACATTCACGCTGCACTTTTTTTTGTATGGGTCAACTGGTTTTAAATGCATGTGAACTGAACAAATACGGTGTAAATTTAACCGGTGCATCTCCAGGGCTTCTTCTAACCCTTACTATTAATCTAAACCAGGGGTGTCCAAACTCTGTCCCGGAAGGACGGTGACCAGGAGAGTTTAGCTCCAACCCAAATCAAATCCACCTAAACTAGCTAATCAAGCTCTGACTAGATATACTAGAAACTTCCTGGCAGATGTGTTGAGGCAAGTTGGAGCTAAACTCAGCAGGACACCAGCCCTCCAGGACCAGGTTTGGACAGCCCTCATCTAAACCCTTGTATTGTGTTGGGTATGTTTTCATATGCTCTGGGGTGATAATTTGGGTCTTAATTTGTTTACAATTTCTTAGTTTTTCATCAAATAAAGCAATTTTTGGTGATGAATCTTATTTTGACACATATTTTGGGAAATAGCTTGAAAGTTTTTCAAAAATCCAACAAAACACACAGATCTGCTTCCATTCCTTTATGTTCATGGCTCTTTTTGCCCCAGTGACTTCTATTATAATGACATTTTTTGATTGCAAAGCCATGACAGCATATAATCACACAATCTTCATTGTTGGTGGTTTTCCCTGTTGGTACAATTTGTCATTTTTACTTTTGATTGTCAGTAGCAGTGTAAAAAAAGCTTAGTTTTTGCCTTCTATATGGAGTATAAGGTGTGGGTGAGTGTGTGTGTGTGTTTGTGTGAGAAAGAGAGAAACCTTTGCGCACCTACCTTGACATGTCTGAGAAAATCTAAATAAGCAGCTCACAGTGCAAGTGTATTCATGCACACACACACACGCACACACACACACACACACACACACACACACACACACACACACACACACACACACACACACACACACACACACACACACACACACACAATAATACACTGTTTTACTCCATAAAAATTCATATAAAAAGCTTAATCTAGAGTGTTAATACTGCTAACTGATGATCAACAGTAAAAATGACACATTTTTTCTTCCATTTTACACGGAAAACCACCAAAAATCAAGAATGCATGATATACTGGTTTTGCAATACAACAAGTCATAATAATGGAAGTTGATGGGGCAAAAACAAGGGTAGCAAACTTGAAAAGTAAGCAAGAGTTAAGGTTATCACACACTGAATTCGAAATTTCACTCGTTAAAAAATAAATTCGACCTCATGTTGTGTCAACAATGCCTCTGAAACTTTCGCCAGTCCTACAACGATTCAAACCTGGTTAGATTTTTTTCAGTTTTTCGCATTCGAAAAAACGCTCTGAGATCTGTTTTGACAGTTCAGAGCCACCAGCACTGTGTTAATCATAAAGTTAAGACAGAATGTGGCAGACAGTTGAGAATCTGTGAATGGCACACCTCTGCCTTGCTGCTGTTTGTTGTGCATGTGTCCATACAGTTGACGTAGACTACTGCGCACATTATAATAGAAAGCATGGTCTGCTATTGGTCTGTTGGTTCGACACTTCGTCAACGTGGCCATCAGCTATTATACGGTCTATAGGTACTTCCAGTCTCTGTTCAGAATTTGTTTACATACGTGAATGTGTGAAGTAATACAAGCAATGCATCAAAACTCCACAGATTTCCTAAAATAAACTTTGCATTTCGGGATAATCATAGCGCAGCTCTTTGATAATGAGCTAAACTCTCCTAGTATTGGATGAACACAATTTGCAGCCTATTCCTCTTTCTTTAAAATTTTTCAAAGAGAGAAAAAAAGTATCACAGTTTGAATTGACTCTGAAATGTTTTGCGTTTTTTCATAATGGATTAATTAATACGCATCGGATTAAGTGTGCAAGGTTTGTTTAAGTAACAAATTTTTCTGCATGAAACTATAAAAAAACATATATACATTTTTTTTATATGATATGTTTTATTAATTAAAAAATGTGATAATAAAATTACAGAACTTTAATATTAATGATATGCAAACATTATTTGTTTTTATTTCTGCTGCCTCCAATAACAAACTTTTTTTTTTTTTTTTAACTTTTTGATAGTGATATGTGCATTTAACAATGTGAAATGTTTTTATTGCTGTTCTTTTTAGCGAGTTTGCTTATTAACAAGGGCACTAGTAGGGCATTAGTAGGAACATTCACATGCGATAAAAAAATTAATAAATCAGAAGCTTGTGTACATTGCTGGCATTTCGGATCCTTGCTAACCAAGTTTCTGCAAAATCAGGATGTGTTGAAGAAGCAGTTTCAACAGATATTTAACAGATAGTCTACTAATGCTCAACTGAGTAGTAAATGGCAACAAAACGTGCAATAAGGACCATCAAATAAAAGTGTTCCCGCTTTTTTTCATGATATAAAAGTTATTTGTTTTGTAAGTAGTGGAGCCAGTAAGCTTTGGTTTAAGTTATCTCAGATTAAATTTATTTGGATGTGATTAAAATGGCAAAGGAAATAGATCATATACTCATGCAAATTTGCCATGCTTGTGGCCTGAACAAAGTATGTAAAAGAAAGTTAATCTCTATGCATCACTCAGCAAACTGTACCCAGGGCCACCTGAAAGCGTGGTCTGGTGCACGGTGTAAACGGGCATTTATAAATATATATGATAGAATGGAAAAATAAGAAAAAAGCACCAACCAACATTTCCAGGTTCTCAGAGACAAAAAAAAATTAATAAAACCCCAAATTGCATACAAATACTAAATAGCAGTGCGTTTAAACTGAAATATTATTTTTATGCTAAAAGATTACGTTTGATCACTATTTATAGGTTGCTTTCACATGACGTCACTGATGATGCACAAAATTCAGATGGAGGTGATTCTTCTACATAGGAATCGCAATCAGAATATCAAAATGTTAGAGTTATATGCTGCTTATAATTGTGTAAATTAGCTAAAATAAGAAATGGCAAACAGCTTTTATAGACTTCTAAACGTTTTTGTTCATAAATGAGGGAAAGTTCAAGAAACTGGCTGAAAAATGGAAGAACATCCATGTGTGCAAGCTTTTTTTGAACATAATTAATTTGACATCACCAATAATGATTATATACAGGCCTAGCTATGAGTATAAATTTGTTCATGTGTTATATAAAATCAGATACAAAAGCCACCACACTTATACAAAATCCAGAAGAATATGAATAATGTACCCTGCGCCATGTAATCGCTGCAATGAAATCTCCGTCTTGTTTTACAAAAACCCATGTCTTTACTGAGTTTTCATTTCGACAGAATAAACAACTGTAATGTGAACAGAGAGATGCGCAGCACCAGTGAATGTTTGTTGGTAAGTTCATTAAATTCATTCTCCCTTATAAAAACTAAATAAATATTGGTATCGCCCATCCCTAGTGTTTGATCATGAAAGTAAAATTCTTATAGGTGAGTGTTGTGCTGTCTCCTGATGGTGATTTTGGTTATAGTCATCGTCCTACTTGGTAGTTTGGTCATTTATATTACTAAATTAGCAATCGTTAAACATTGTCTGGAAAATGGTATTAAACATGTTTCATTTGGGCTGACACTAACAAACACACAATGTGTACACGGGAATAATTGTTTTACATTCAATTAATCATTATTTTTATATCTTTTACAATGTAGATTGTGTCAAAGCAGCTTAACTAAACTGTGTCAGTCCAGTTTTCAGAGTAGATTTGGTGTATGCCAATTTGGTAATGGCAGCATTAAAGACTGTGTAGAAGTTGAAAAACTTGTGCAAGCAGATGTTGCAACAAAACGCACTTCATTCCACTTCAATGTGGAAAAAAATGTTGTAACCAATGTCCTGTTGCACTTTTGTATGCATACAAGTGGGCTGTGTGTTGCTGCATCAGTATTACACACGCAGATACTACCATATAAACTGTGATTATATACTACTTATACCTGTCAACCAGCTCATTAAGTAGATGTATGAGTGACATAATGTGGGACTGTAAACATCAATAAGATGTATTAATCTAAAGTAATCTACAGGAAGGTCAAGATTCTGAAGTTAGTCGAATTCAACCAACTCATCAAAAAAAAAAAAAAAAAACACAATGTGGATTATGTTCTAGAACTGCTACAATACCTTTACTGAATGAGCACTGCTTCATCTGAGAGATCACACTGTTATGTCTTTATTTTCTTCTTTATTCTTTTATAACCTGTTTAACACATTTTAATAATAATCATTTGTTTTTATTTTCTTATACTTGTCTCTTTTATCCCCGTTTATTGAATTGCCACCGTGTATGAAATGTGCTATATAAATAAACTTGCCTTGCCTTACAACTACAAGGTTAGTTGAGCTCATTATAGCTTCATGTGGTTTCACCAATTTGGTTTTTCCTGTTTTGAACTGTTCTGAAGAAGACACCACAGATGAGCAGCAACCCAACAACATGGTGAATGACCACAAGAGATCAACTGTTCTCAGATGCACAGAGACAGATTCCAACTGCAGACCCATTTGTTTTGCAAATCCTCAAAAGTGAAAGTGATAAAAAAATATTGCTTTAATGGCGCTACTGTTTTAATACTGCTATGCAAACACAGGCTCCAAATACTCAGTATAAAGATATTTCACACAAATATTTCAATCAACTCATCCTCTGGTAATTCCAAACCTTTCTGACTTTCTTCAGCGGAAAATAAGTTATTTTCAAGAAAGCAGGAAACACAAATACTGTGGAAATCAATGTTTACAGCTTTCCAGCTTTCTTCAAAATATCTACATAAAACAAGTCTGCATAAATGACAATTTCACATTTTTGGGTTAAAAATTCCTTTAAATCAGTGGTCTCAAACTCAATTCCTGGAGGTCCACAGCTCTGCAGATTTTGGGCCCTATCATACACCCGGCGCAGTAGTCTTTTGGTAGTTTCAGCTTGGTGCAAGAGTCGTTTTGAGGCGTTGCGCTACGCTGTTTAAATAGCAAATGCATTAGCGCTCATTTGTGCGCCCATTGGCGTTCTGCTCTAAAAAGGGAGGCGTTCTAAGGCGGACCGCTGGTGCGTTGCTATTTCGAGAAACTATAATAGATTTTTCATTAGACCAAAACTAACCCGGTCTAAACTCCGGCGAAGAGTTGCGCCTCGCTTACGCACGGCTTCATACGCACAAGAGAGCAACAGGCAAATATTTTTACATATGAAAAAATGTAAATATTAAGAATATATATATATAGGATATAATAAGAATAGATATAGGATATAAATATAAAGGATTAAAATATTACAAAACATATTTTCTAGCCTACATAAATATAAAAAATCAACGCTTTTATGTCTTCTTCATCTCGGGAGGCTTTTTCAGTTCATTTATAACAATTTGCTTTTGTATAATGTTATTATTATTAGCCATATTATTTATTAAATCCATATTTATATTTGTTTTATTAAAAACAAGCTTAGATTTGCCCACCTGTCAGGTTTTAGACCATATGGGGCATGGCAGGTGTATTTGGAAATAACTTAGTATTTTGACCACACTTGGTCATTATTGTTCATTTATTCGTTTGCTAGAAATTACAACTGAATTGAGAAATAGTTTTGAAACAAATATTTGCGCTTAACAAACTAAATTAATTATTTATAGACTAATTGATGTCTGTGCGTAAAGGTTTCCCTATCCAAGAGCGAATGTGAAAGTAGATCATTTATCTTTCATTCTCACGCAGTAGATGCTCTGTTTAACAGTTTTCTGTTAAAAAACTGTCAACTGTTAGCTTGTGAAATGCTCATTTTTTCCACTTAGACCTACTTTGTGTCCTGTAAATAGTGAATGCGCTCTTGGCGCGACGCAGCTGGGTCTTAAAGGGAATGGGAGATGAGACTATAATTGGTTTATTCTCAAAACACACCTATAACTCATTAAGAAAATAAACTCAACCCTTTTAGCCTATGCGCCTTGGCGCAAAGCGCATTTTCACATCCGTAAATTAGCAAAAATGCGTTTTGACACGCCCTAAAAGTGTTTGCGCCCTGCGTTTTGCGCTCTGCGCATGGACCGTTAAAATAGAGCCCTTTATCTCCAACCACCTCCAACTCACGGGAGTCTCTAGAGGTCTTGAACACCTTTGGATCAGCTTTGTTTTATTAGGGTTGAAGCAAAACTGTGCAGAGCTGCGGCCCTGAACGAATCGAGTTTGAGAGCCATGCTTTAAATCAACCCGTGTGTGTACAAAAAAAGAAAGAACAACGAATTAAAAACATGTCATACCCAGTCCATTTTCGCTTGTGGCACCCTGACCGTCTGATTCATTAGCGGCTGCATCCATAAGGCTTGGTTCCAGGTCATTACGGCGGCGACGTGAGCGTCTTCTGCGGTCAATACCACCCATGCTCTCGCTAGCATCTGTATCACCGCCCTGTTCACCTTCACCCTCCAGCAGAGAGTATGGGTTACTGTCCGGATCTCGGAGGACTGGAACACACACGAACACATATGTCAAGCACAAAACAAATAATGTAGAGAATTTTGCATGGATAGCCTCCCAAGCATTTAAAAAGGAGCTTTGTGTAAATTATCATTAATTTCCTTTTGTTTTTTAACACTACAATTTTGAAAAGCTTGTAAAGAAACGCATAATAAAAAGAATTAATTTAAATGAGAGTCATATAAATGTATAGTCTATTCATATTCCCAATTTCTATGCTAAATATGACTTTTGCTCATTAATTAATATCCTTATACACTGATTATTAACATTTAAGGTAGTTGTAGCAGTGCCAATTAAATATGGAAAAGATTACGGTGTGAAAAATATAGAACATATGCATTAAAATGTTATATTATAAGTACTAATAAACCAATAATATTCAAACAAATAGCTAAAATTGAGAACGGGTGCCCATAAAAAACACATCCAGATCACTTACTGGCCACCAGTGTAACTAATGATGAAGGTTTCTGACTTCTATGAATAACCCTTCAATAAAATACCTTTTTTAAGGTCTAAAAGCCTTAGTTTTCTCAAACTTTGACAACTTAATTTGTCATTTTCTTGCATGATTTTTTTCTTGCGTACAATAGACCCTTTTCACATTATGTCCAGTTTCACTCCACGCAGTGTATGGTTACTTCCACCTACACAGAACTCCCCATAGAGAACTCACCCAGTCAGCTGTATATTTACTACCGAAACAATTAGACTGTGACCAGGCAGTTTTCTGTTGTCTGCATTCAAGGTGAGACATCTTAAAAAATAATTTTAAACATCAGGCGGATTTTCTCTTGGACCAAGATAATGGGACTTTAAACAGAGTGTATTGCTTTGTGTGGCTGTATTTGCTCTAGATGAAGTTGGTATGTACTTGTCAGCTTTTGTCAAATAAAGATTTCAGACGTTTACACCGGTGCTGAACATTTTTTTTGTCAAAATATTTTTTAGTATGTTTTTGTGCCCTGTAGAGTAAGTAATAAATACAACTGTGTGCGTTATACTGCAGATGTTTACAGTGGACAGCTGATTCACAAACACATTTATATAATTCACATTCTACAGCTCAGATCTCTGAAAATTTGTTTCTATAAAAGGCATTTCACTTATAAACATAAAACATTTAATTCTAAGATTCAAATAAAATGAAATAGAACAACAATGTTGTATGTGACTCAAATAATCAAATGAAATCATTACAAAAATTTACAGTAATAATAATAATAATAATACCTTTTATTTTTAGGCGCCTTTCAAAGCACTCAAGGACACCTTACAGCAGATTACAAGCACATCATAAAAATGCAAGCAGTAAAAATGACAATCAGCATAATTAAACCAGCAAATCATTAAAAGCTATCCTAAACAAAAACGTCTTTATCTGAGATTTAAAATTGGAAATAGAGTCCATCTGGCGAATGTGCAAAGGCAGGGAATTCCATAACTTCGGTGCTGTACAACTAAAAGCCCTGCCTCCAAATGACTTCATCTTAAAGTGTGGGACAGATAACAGTTCAGCAGAAGATGATCTCAGTGAGCATGAAGGAGTGTACAAATGAAGAAGATCAGAAAGATAGCGAGGGGCCAGGTTATGAAGAGCTTTGTATGTTAAGAGGAGGATTTTGTATTGTATACGATAGTGAACAGGAAGCCAGTGCAGGTGAAAGAGAATCGGAGTTATGTGATCAGAAGTACGCGAGCAGGTGACTATCCTAGCCGCTGAATTCTGAATCAACTGTAGTTTATGAATTTGTTTATCAGGAATACCAGAGAGAAGCGAGTTACAGTAATCAATCCGTGATGTAACCAAAGCATGAACAAGCACTTCAGTACTTTGTTGAGATAGTGAAGGGCGAAGTCTTGCAATGTTACGCAAATGAAAAAAGGCAGAACGTGAGATATTACTAATTTGAGAACTAAATGAGAGCATGCCATCCAGTATAACCCCAAGACTTTTCACTTGGGTTGAGAAATTGACTGGGGAGTTATCAACAAACAGGGTAAAAGATTGAGCTTTGGATAAAACAGATTTTGAGCCAACCAAAAGGGCTTCGGTTTTACTGGCATTTAACTTTAAGAAATTATTAGTCATCCATGTATTAATCTCATTTAGACATTTGGTAAGGTCAGAAGGGGGGTGCGATGTTGTAGGTTTTGTGGAGATATAAACTTGTGTATCGTCTGCATAAAAATGAAAATGTATGCCAAAAGAACGAAATATATGACCTAAAGGTAGGATATAAATAATAAATAAAAGTGGCCCCAATACTGACCCTTGAGGAATACCATGAAGGATTGAAACAGGATCGGAGCGTCTATTTTTTATCTGCACAAACTGTTTTCTGTCACTTAAATAGGAAGAGAACCAGCAGAGTGCGTTGTCAGCTATTCCTATAGAAGCCAGTCGTTCCAATAATAGTGAATGACTAATAGTATCGAAAGCCGCAGTAATATCTAAAAGAATAAGTATAGACAGGTAACCAGAATCAGCAGCTAAGAGAAGATCATTTACAACCTTAGTGAGGGCTGTTTCTGTGCTGTGTTTAGGGCGAAACCCAGATTGAAAGTGCTCATAGATGTTATTAGTAAGCAGATGTGATTGAAGTTGAGCTGCTACTGTTCTTTCCAGTATTTTTGAAACAAACGGAAGGTTGGCAATTGGCCTAAAATTGTTTAGGTCATTAGTATCAGCCCCAGTCTTTTTGAGTATTGGAGTTATAGAGGCCGTTTTTAAAGATGAAGGAACAGTAGCAGTTGATAGTGAAGAACACACTATAGATGTAATAAAAGAGGATAGTGAATTAATGCAAGACTTAACTAAAACAGTAGGTAGGGGATCAAGTGAGCAGGTAGAGGTCTTAGACTTCATGATCTCCCTAGTAATAAAATCAACTGAGGGCAGTTCAAAATTAGAGAGAATACTCACTGACCCGCTAACATGGCTATAATCATACTGATAATTGGGAACAATCAAAACAGAATTTAGCAATTCATGATGAATATGATCAGTCTTAGCATGGAGAAAATTAGAGTAGGGAACACACTGAATAGGATCAAGGGAAACAGAATCATGTGGTTTCAACAATTTGGCAACAGTACTGAACAAAGTCCTTGTATTTGAGTGTCCACTGGTGATGAGATTTGAGTAGAATGTTGATTTTGCTCTTTCTATTGCAGCCTTGTAAGAAGCAAGATGCTCAGAATACATCTGCTCAGAATACAGTGGCAAAATAACACCAATAATAATAATATTTTTATTTGTAAATTTTCCAGAAGTCTGCCAATCATTCGAAAGTACACTGGAACAAAAAATACACCTTGCTGCTGATAGGGGGAAGTGAAGTGGCGTCATTGTGAAAATGATCTATTACAGCTACTTATAATAACTATATTCACTACCAACAGTGGCTCAGACTTCTATATATTAAAATTCCAATGGGCTGTACCTGAGCTGATAGTGTTAATGTTTCTGAGTCCTGGTCCTCCACGGCCCCTGCCAGCGCTGGAGCCACGGCCTCGACCTCCACGCTTCGAACCCCGATCATCTGCTCCAACCCCTTTAGGCCTGGACTCCCGATCCCCCAAATCCTCCGTCTCTGATGCATTGGACATCTCAGAGTTAGTTCCTGCGAGAAGAATGAAGAATGTTAAGCAGCAGGAACACAATTTATACAGAACAATTTAGGCACCTTAGTAGCACTGGTGATATTTGAGAGAAAAAAAACAGCCTGTGTGAAATATTCATCTCAATGCTCGTATGATACTGCCTTATGATATGACACAGAGACCAATTTATACAGGGCATTTTTGCTCCAGTAACTTGCATTTAGAGGCATATAACAGCATTATGTACACTACATTCTAAGATTAACGTCATGCACCATCAGTCAACTGTATGAAATTTTATTTATTATTATCTAAATTGAGAATTTCCAAGTAAAACGTACTATACATTACATCGGGTATAAAACAAAGCTTAAAAGAAACATTTCAGTTTTTTGTAAATAGGCCCATTTTACAAGTCCCCTAGATAAAAGGGTATATGCAGAAATATGCAGAAGAACTATCTTCGGTCAAGCACTTCCAGTGAACTGTGTGCATTTGCAAAATCGCCTGAGGTCTGTTTCTTACAAAATTAACGATCACTGCCCGATTGATATACAATATAAAGTGGGTTTTAGAATGTACAGGAAGCACTGCATTAAATTAGAATTTCCCACGCCATGTCTTTAAAATATGAACATTTATTTTACTCGTTTCTGCGCTCGCCTGCTGATCCTGACGGGCAGGTGGTTGTAAACGGCTTTTCATCTCGTGTTACGCTTCAACAACTAAATGAATGCTCAAGTTTATTTAACTGATTATATTTTAATTACATTACAACATCAATGCTGTAAAAAGAACCGTATAAAACTGAAAAAAAGTCACATTGACCAGAAGTTTATCGAAATAGTAAGAAACACTAGCTGTGCATATAACGTATAGTCCTGAAAAAAAATATGCAGATAGTTAAACAAGGTAACGCAGTTGCAAAATATCATTGCACTTTAAATAATAAAACTCTTTTCAAATTGTTTTTAGATTAATGCTAATGGTCTAATCTGATTCAATGGTTTATGCTAAGCTAAGCTAAAAGTGCCCATGCAAGATCTGCAGATTGGCTAGATGGATTGCTAAATTTCTGTGGTTTAACTGGCAGACTTAAAATGTGCCTATTTTAGTGTTCCTTTGAGGTAAAACTAAAGAAAAATGTTTATATTTCTTCTATTGTGCATAACTGTGGAATGTGTTTGAAAAGAAAAAATAAGAACAGGTGCTTAAAATGTTTTTATAAAATAAGTCAGAGGCAAAACAACAAGGAACAAAAAGTCAATGAAATTTGACTAAAATTTGTAGCTTATAACTAGGCCTACACGAAGTATGCATGGCAGAAATCCACAGATATTCATCCCATACCAATATTTATTTACTTGTGTAAATGCGTGTAAATTTATAATTATTCAATTTTTAAATAAATTTCAGTAATATTGACTAATAATGTTCATTTGATTTTTTTACAATACAGTTTGTAAAGTAATATGTTGTATTGTAGTATAAATATATATGAGAGATATTAACTTTTTAGTTATGATACTCCTAAAATCATTCCACAAAAAATAAATAAAGAAAAATCAACAGATTTTTTTAATTTATTTTTTTACAAAATTCTGCACAGAAATAGCAAAAAAATGTCCACAGATTCTGGCTGGCCCTACTTACAGCTCTGTTGTGTTAAATGTAAACTTTAAACCAATCACTTCATATCATTTAAACAAATATTAAACATGACCAATTTTGAACAGAACTGGTGTCTAAAATCTGACAAATGTCCAGGTGCATAGTGAAATGGGCAGATTTTACTTTTAAATAGTACTATGATGGCTTTTTGCGCCATCTAGTGGTTTACATAAAAATAAAAATGAATGTATGTTTTACCCAGGTGTGCCTGAAAGGGTTAGTTCACCCAAAAATCAAAATACATTCTTTTATCCATTTACCACAAAACAAGATGTTTTGAAGAATGTTGTAAACCAGTAGCCATTGACTTTAAAAGTGGCACATTCTTCCAGAAACTTATACTTTTCCTTACCTAATAAACTTAACTTAATGAACTTAACTTCCTTTTCTAATAAACTTAAGCTTGCTTTCAAAAAATTATACAAAAACAAGCATAAAATCAAACAATTCAATAACAGAAGTTATCCTTGATGACTGTCAGCTTCTCCTCCGTCAAATGATGTCACTTCCGAGTCATATCCTTAAAGGTGTACTGCACGCATTGTTTGTTAAATTTAATGCAAATGTGACAGGACTGACAGAAACATGGGGACAATTGTAAATTTATTTGTATTATATATTTGTAGTATTTTTTTGTAGAATGTATTTATAATTTCATGTTTTTAAATCAATTGATGTGATTGATAACAACTTAAACTTTCTATTTCTGAAGTTAAGCATAACAAAAGTATTAAGTATTAAGTTCAATTGGGCTGAGGACAAGAACAGTGAGTTTGTGCAGTGTAAAGTGTTTTAATAAAGAAAACAAATCTGAGAACCAAATAAATGACATATTCCTTTACAATACAACAATACAAGAGCTTGTGTAGCGAACGCAAACGCGGTTTCGCGTCGTCCGCCTCAGTTTCGGCCCTTGTTTTGACTCGGGAGGCGTGTCCAAACGCCAGGTAACCACTATATAGCGAGCACGCTAGCATTAGTCGGCAGGAGAAGCACTTTATCAGCATCTAGACCAGCAGCCTGTAAGTACATTTAAGATTTGTTTCAGTTGTTGTGTATGGTTTGAGGACTTGTTTCCAGCTGTTTGTGTAAAGTTGTAGGACATTTAAACTTGCTTTCAGTTGTGTATAATACTAGAAGTTGTTTAGCCACTGTTTCCTTGGTTACTATAAGAGCTTGTGTAGCGAACGCAAACGCGGTTTCGCGTCGTCCGCCTCAGTTTCGGCCCTTGTTTTGACTCGGGAGGCGTGTCCAAACGCCAGGTAACCACTATATAGCGAGCACGCTAGCATTAGTCGGCAGGAGAAGCACTTTATCAGCATCTAGACCAGCAGCCTGTAAGTACATTTAAGATTTGTTTCAGTTGTTGTGTATGGTTTGAGGACTTGTTTCCAGCTGTTTGTGTAAAGTTGTAGGACATTTAAACTTGCTTTCAGTTGTGTATAATACTAGAAGTTGTTTAGCCACTGTTTCCTTGGTTACTATAAGAGCTTGTGTAGCGAACGCAAACGCGGTTTCGCGTCGTCCGCCTCAGTTTCGGCCCTTGTTTTGACTCGGGAGGCGTGTCCAAACGCCAGGTAACCACTATATAGCGAGCACGCTAGCATTAGTCGGCAGGAGAAGCACTTTATCAGCATCTAGACCAGCAGCCTGTAAGTACATTTAAGATTTGTTTCAGTTGTTGTGTATGGTTTGAGGACTTGTTTCCAGCTGTTTGTGTAAAGTTGTAGGACATTTAAACTTGCTTTCAGTTGTGTATAATACTAGAAGTTGTTTAGCCACTGTTTCCTTGGTTACTATAAGAGCTTGTGTAGCGAACGCAAACGCGGTTTCGCGTCGTCCGCCTCAGTTTCGGCCCTTGTTTTGACTCGGGAGGCGTGTCCAAACGCCAGGTAACCACTATATAGCGAGCACGCTAGCATTAGTCGGCAGGAGAAGCACTTTATCAGCATCTAGACCAGCAGCCTGTAAGTACATTTAAGATTTGTTTCAGTTGTTGTGTATGGTTTGAGGACTTGTTTCCAGCTGTTTGTGTAAAGTTGTAGGACATTTAAACTTGCTTTCAGTTGTGTATAATACTAGAAGTTGTTTAGCCACTGTTTCCTTGGTTACTATAAGAGCTTGTGTAGCGAACGCAAACGCGGTTTCGCGTCGTCCGCCTCAGTTTCGGCCCTTGTTTTGACTCGGGAGGCGTGTCCAAACGCCAGGTAACCACTATATAGCGAGCACGCTAGCATTAGTCGGCAGGAGAAGCACTTTATCAGCATCTAGACCAGCAGCCTGTAAGTACATTTAAGATTTGTTTCAGTTGTTGTGTATGGTTTGAGGACTTGTTTCCAGCTGTTTGTGTAAAGTTGTAGGACATTTAAACTTGCTTTCAGTTGTGTATAATACTAGAAGTTGTTTAGCCACTGTTTCCTTGGTTACTATAAGAGCTTGTGTAGCGAACGCAAACGCGGTTTCGCGTCGTCCGCCTCAGTTTCGGCCCTTGTTTTGACTCGGGAGGCGTGTCCAAACGCCAGGTAACCACTATATAGCGAGCACGCTAGCATTAGTCGGCAGGAGAAGCACTTTATCAGCATCTAGACCAGCAGCCTGTAAGTACATTTAAGATTTGTTTCAGTTGTTGTGTATGGTTTGAGGACTTGTTTCCAGCTGTTTGTGTAAAGTTGTAGGACATTTAAACTTGCTTTCAGTTGTGTATAATACTAGAAGTTGTTTAGCCACTGTTTCCTTGGTTACTATAAGAGCTTGTGTAGCGAACGCAAACGCGGTTTCGCGTCGTCCGCCTCAGTTTCGGCCCTTGTTTTGACTCGGGAGGCGTGTCCAAACGCCAGGTAACCACTATATAGCGAGCACGCTAGCATTAGTCGGCAGGAGAAGCACTTTATCAGCATCTAGACCAGCAGCCTGTAAGTACATTTAAGATTTGTTTCAGTTGTTGTGTATGGTTTGAGGACTTGTTTCCAGCTGTTTGTGTAAAGTTGTAGGACATTTAAACTTGCTTTCAGTTGTGTATAATACTAGAAGTTGTTTAGCCACTGTTTCCTTGGTTACTATAAGAGCTTGTGTAGCGAACGCAAACGCGGTTTCGCGTCGTCCGCCTCAGTTTCGGCCCTTGTTTTGACTCGGGAGGCGTGTCCAAACGCCAGGTAACCACTATATAGCGAGCACGCTAGCATTAGTCGGCAGGAGAAGCACTTTATCAGCATCTAGACCAGCAGCCTGTAAGTACATTTAAGATTTGTTTCAGTTGTTGTGTATGGTTTGAGGACTTGTTTCCAGCTGTTTGTGTAAAGTTGTAGGACATTTAAACTTGCTTTCAGTTGTGTATAATACTAGAAGTTGTTTAGCCACTGTTTCCTTGGTTACTATAAGAGCTTGTGTAGCGAACGCAAACGCGGTTTCGCGTCGTCCGCCTCAGTTTCGGCCCTTGTTTTGACTCTCGAGGCGTGTCCAGCTGAATTCAATCAGCTAGTGCTTTGGGGTTATATAAACAACTAGTTCACCGCGGCAGCGGTCGCGGCAGCCTCGTGTGAAGACCGCCTCGTGTGAAGACCGACGAGGGTAAAGACCATCGACTCTACCTGCGCGACTCCACCGAGCAAAGACACCGACAAAGCACTTGAGTACTTTACTGTATTGTTTTACTTTACACTTATTTTTTTGTTGTCAGTGCACTTTTATTATGTGTTTTCTAATTCCTGTTGTTACTAACACTCGCAAAACACGGGAGGTGCGCTGCAGGCGTAATCCTCACAACCTTCGTTCAATACATGTATCTACTATTTCACAACTCTCTCTCTCCGTGGGCCTCTGGAATTGTCAATCAGCTGTTAACAAGGCTGATTTTATTACCTCCATAGCTACATATTCTGACTATAATCTCATGGCTCTAACTGAGACCTGGTTGAGGCCGGAGGACACTGCTACACATGCTACTCTTTCTGCTAATTTCTCTTTTTCCCACACTCCTCGTCAGACAGGGAGAGGGGGTGGGACTGGACTACTAATTTCCAAAGAATGGAAATTTACTCTGATACCGTCCCTGCCAACAATCAGCTCCTTTGAATTCCATGCAGTCACCATTATCCACCCCTTCTACATAAATGTGGTTGTCATCTACCGCCCACCAGGTAAATTAGGTCACTTCCTAGATGAACTGGATGTTCTTCTCTCATCTTTTTCTAATTTTGCCACTCCCTTATTGGTGCTAGGTGACTTCAACATTTACGTTGACAAACCGCAAGCTGCAGACTTTCAGACTTTGCTTGCCTCTTTTGACCTAAAAAGAGCACCTACTTCTGCTACCCACAAATCAGGTAATCAGCTAGACCTTATTTACACACGACACTGCTTCACTGATCAAACAATAGTAACTCCACTACAAATATCTGATCATTTCCTTCTGTCTCTCAACATCCACATTACTCCTGAGCCGCCACACACTCCTACACTGGTTACCTTTCGCAGAAACCTACGATCTCTCTCACCCAATAGACTATCCACCATTGTTTCAGACTCTCTTCCTCCATCTCGCAAACTCACTGCACTTGATTCGAACAGTGCCACTAATATACTCTGCTCCACACTAGCATCATGTCTAGACCGATTATGTCCTCTTGCATCCAGGCCAGCCCGTGCCAGTCCTCCTGCACCCTGGCTCTCGGATGCTCTCCGTGAGCATCGCTCAAAACTTCGGGCTGCGGAGAGAATTTGGCGGAAAACTAAAAATCCTGCACATCTCTTAACATACCAAACTCTTCTGTCCTCTTTCTCAGCTGAGGTTACTTCTGCAAAGCAGACGTATTACCGTCTGAAAATCAACAATGCCACTAATCCTCGCCTACTTTTTAAAACATTTTCCTCCCTCCTCTATCCTCCTCCTCCACCCACATCCTCCACACTTACTACTGATGACTTTGCTACATTCTTCTGCACCAAAACTGCAAAAATCAGTGCTCAATTTGCTGCACCTACAACAAATACGCAAGATACAACACCAACACCACACACACTCACCTCTTTTTCTCAGCTCTCTGAGTCTGAGGTGTCCAAACTTGTGCTATCTAGCCATGCTACCACCTGTCCACTCGATCCCATTCCCTCTCATCTCTTGCAAGCCATCTCTCCTGCAGTCATACCAACACTGACTCACATAATTAACACATCTCTTGACTCTGGTTTATTCCCCACTACATTTAAGCAGGCTAGGGTAACCCCACTGCTAAAGAAACCCAACCTGGACCATACGCTACTTGAAAACTACAGACCAGTATCCCTGCTTCCATTCATGGCCAAGATTCTGGAGAAAGTAGTGTTCAATCAAGTCCTGGACTTTCTTACTCAAAACAATCTCATGGACAACAAGCAATCCGGCTTTAAGAAAGGCCACTCAACTGAGACTGCCCTGCTCTCGGTCGTGGAGGATCTCAGACTGGCTAAAGCAGACTCTAAATCATCAGTCCTCATTTTGCTGGACTTGTCAGCTGCTTTTGACACTGTCAACCACCAGATCCTGCTATCTACGCTTGAGTCACTGGGCGTTGCGGGCACTGTTATACAATGGTTCAGATCTTACCTCTCTGACAGGTCATTCAGGGTGTCTTGGAGGGGAGAGGTGTCCAACCTACAGCATCTAAACACTGGGGTACCTCAAGGCTCTGTTCTTGGGCCACTTCTCTTCTCCATCTACACATCATCTCTAGGACCAGTCATCCAGAGACATGGATTCTCCTACCACTGCTATGCTGATGATACCCAGCTATACCTCTCTTTTCATCCTGATGATCCCTCGGTTCCAGCTCGTATCTCAGCCTGCCTGTTGGATATTTCACACTGGATGAAAGATCATCATCTTCAGCTGAATCTCGCAAAAACGGAAATGCTTGTAGTTTCTGCCAACCCGACTCTACACCATAACTTTTCAATCCAGATGGATGGGGCAACCATTACTGCATCCAAAATGGTGAAAAGCCTTGGAGTAACGATTGATGACCAACTAAACTTCTCTGACCACATTTCTAGAACTGCTCGATCGTGCAGATTTGCACTCTATAACATCAGAAAGATCCGACCCTTCTTATCGGAACATGCAGCTCAACTCCTTGTTCAAGCTCTTGTTCTCTCCAAACTGGATTACTGCAACTCTCTACTAGCTGGGCTTCCAGCTAACTCTATCAAGCCTCTTCAACTGCTCCAGAATGCAGCAGCACGAGTTGTCTTCAATGAACCTAAACGAGCACATGTCACTCCGCTGCTAGTCCGTTTGCACTGGCTGCCAGTTGCTGCTCGCATCAAATTCAAAACTCTGATGTTTGCCTACAAAGTGACTTCTGGCCTAGCACCTTCTTATCTGCACTCACTTCTGCAGATCTATGTGCCCTCCAGAAACTTGCGTTCTGTGAATGAACGTCGCCTCGTGGTTCCATCCCAAAGAGGAAAAAAATCACTTTCGCGAACGCTCACGCTCAATCTGCCCAGTTGGTGGAATGAACTCCCTAACTGCATCAGAACAGCAGAGTCACTCGCTATTTTCAAGAAACGACTAAAAACTCAACTATTTAGTCTCCACTTCACTTCCTAATCTGCAATTGCCTATTTGAATATCACACTAACTGTACAAAAAAAAAAAAAAAAAAAAAAAAAATTACTAACACTTCCCTTCTTAGACTTTACAGACCTGAAACTTGCCTTTAGTACTTATTCATTGTTGCTCTTAGTGGTGTAAATTGCTTCCTTGTCCTCATTTGTAAGTCGCTTTGGATAAAAGCGTCTGCTAAATGACTAAATGTAAATGTAAATGTAAATGTAAACTCACAGAAATCAACCATCAGTTAATTTTAGACATTTTTGGAGAAAATACTGTTTATACTCTGTATTTATGTTTTTATTTCAGGGACAGATAATGTATGTTTCTGGTAGAATGGCCCTAATATTCATTTTCTACGATGGATGTCAACTACTTTCAGCATTCTTAAAAATATCTTCTCTGATCAACAGAAAAAGGAACTCAATGATTTTGAACGACTTAAGACTAAATTATTATCCTTACTATCCCTTTAAGTCTGTTGTGCATCTTTCTATTAAACACACACAGACAGATATGCATTGTGTAAGTTCCAGTCTCACCATAGCCGGAGTATGTATTGTTCGGTTTGCGTCCGCGTCCTCTTCCTCCATATGTGCGTGTGGTCTGCAGGGAGTTGGTGCTCTCGTCTGTGAGGTAACCTCGCTCCCGCTCACCCGCAACACCTGAACCAGAGCGACTTGGGGGAGCTCGATATCCCACGCCGATCTGACGAAGCTGCTCATCGATCTGCAGACGCTCCAGACGCAGCTGCTCCACCTCCTGTCCAGCACACAGAAACAAACTACTGTCAGGTGCATATGCAGAGCAATAGAGATCCTTTACAAAAGATTACATTAACATTACTGATATAATTCTGTGTTTAGTTATTGTATATATATATATATATATATATATATATATATATATATATATATATATATATATAAAAAAAAAACACTAAATTCTGACTTTATTTAAAAAAAATATATAAGTTGCTATAAAGAGGAAAATTATATATCTTATTAATATCTTTAACAATATTGTACAAAGGATAATAATAGAATACATATAATAAATGCACTTATATTCAATAGAATATACAAATATAACAGTATATTACATACATTGTGTTGCAATACAGTGTATACACAATACAGTAACATAAAAATGGTCTGAAATCATATAAAAACACTAGTATAAAAGCAAAGTGCATTTAGTTTATAAAAAAGTTAAAAAACAATCTATTCTAAAATATAAAAGTAAAAAAGTTATATAACACAATATAATAAAAATAATTGGATTACATTGTTTAAAAGGAATTTCTTACTTGTATTGACAATGACAATACAGAAGATAGTAAGATACTATGATAAAATTGATTGTGTAAACTAAGGGGCTCCTAAATTTATCAGCCCACGACCCCCAAAATGACAAAGCCACCCAATCATTCATTTGAGTTGGTTGTAAATATACAATTGTTGTGCACACATCAATAGGCCTATTTAAACACGAGCATATAGACAATACAAAGTTTATGTTTAGTTGTGATCTGTATTTATTTTTCATGCATTTGGTTACCATAAAGGTGTAAGAAAATTTAACCTGTTGCAGCTGACGCTATTGCTGTGCTGTAAATCTAACATAAACACACAATTTAAAGGTTGATGCTTTTCATTTGTATGTTGATTTTTATGTAACCTTTAAATATTATTTTTAATCTTCTGTGGGTTATGGATTTCATTAATTCTAATAGTTTAATAAAATTTATTTGACTTTTAGAAATCAAGTGACCCCCTTCCATTGACTTTTAGAACCCTCACTTTTGGAACCACTGATCTAAACAACTACATGTACAATCGAGAAGACCAAACTAGGGCCCGCAGGCCAAAGTTGGCCCATGGTAACCTTTGATTTTGGCCCATCAGAGAAGAGAAGGAAAATTTTGGCAACGGTTGGAGTTAATACCTTTAATACACATTGTCATTTCTAACCTAACCCACCCTTTGATTTGTTTGTTTTATTTAGAGCTATAAAAAACTAACTTTGAATAAATGTTTTAATTTTATTTGAAATTAAAGATTATTATTATTATTTTTAATGAATATCCCGTTGCTCAACAGATCTACCACAGCTCATAAATCCTCTGAGCAAATCAAGGCAAAGGCAGGTGTAGCTTGACTAGTCTATTTGGCATTAGACTCCATTGAGTTATTAATGTAATTCTATTGTTTTCATTTTACTGTAACAGATCAATTATAATGTGTAAATACTAATATATATATACCAATATATAATATATAATAAATGCATTACTTAATCTAATTAAAATCGTGTTTTCTATAAATTTTGAAAAAAATTAGGACATTATCTATGGCATCTTTGTTATACAGCTTGACATATTTATTTTCAGCCAACTGCCCTCAATCAAGTTTGGTATTTGGCCCTTCATAACGGAGTTTGGGCATCCCTGATATACAATAATCTCGGGCATAATTAAATATGTAATAATATAATATACATTGAAGACAACATGACTAAATATTGTATTATAATGCAAGAAAATACAGTATAATTTAATCTTTATATATAATTTTTAATATAATCATTATTAAAATTTTATAAAATATATTAAGATTTAACAACGTTATATTCCCAGGTCCTCATGTTCTAATAGCAAATGGTGGAAAAATTGCTGCATAACATTACTACAATAGTGTTTGTTTTACTAATGCACAAAACTGCCACAGTAGACCACCTAATTTTTATTTCTTCCTATAAAGGCTGATGAAATAATCGGTTGTTGCGAGAGTGGTGGCCCAAACTTGACATCTACTGAGCAAGATTCTTCTGCACTAACAGCATTTATTGGAGTGGGTTTTCACTGGATGCACCATATCTGTAAACGTGTGTGATGGTGTCAAATCAGAATGTGACAGGTGTCAGTGTGAAACAGCAGCTGAACGCTGATGGTGAGGGGCAATGTGGCAGAGCTGGGGCCATTGGAGAGAGCTAAATTGAGATGGCATGTAATCCACACTTTTCTCCCTCCCCCATCACATCTAGGTCCAATGGGTGTATTTTAAGTATCAGTCAGCCATTAAAGATGACCAACAGCTTTCCATGAAGTAGGAGATCAGCTGACCATTATAAAAAAAATTATAAAAATAAATAAATTATATATATATATATATATATATATATATATATATATATATATATATATATTTATATTAGCTAAGCAAAAAATAAAATAAAATAATATATATATATATATATATATATATATATATATATATATATATATATATATATATATATATATAATATAAATATTATTATAAATAAATAATAAATAAATCATAAATGAAAACAAAATATAACTTAGGCTTTAGGGTGAAATGCAAGTGCAAAAAGAGTCAAACTAGTTCCCAGAGCAGCATAACAAACTAACCTGGAGGTAGGCTACATGGTATTCAAGCAAGGCCTGGGCATTGCTGATGTTCTCTTTAGTTCCAACAAAGATAAAGGGAACCGTTCCCTGAAAAAAAATACAAAAAGGAAAAGAGGAATAGCAGTTAGATTGTTAGTAAATTCACAAGCCATTTCAGATGTTTCAGGTTCAAATGCTGAGAATAAGTGTATAAACAGTGTGTTGCTAATAATGTGTTGTTTTCCTTGCTGAGGTTTTATTTAGCTGTAACAGTGAGCGGTGTGTTGTATCAGGTGGGCGGCTCATTCACCTCTTGGCTGCTGACAATGTTGTCTCTGCCAGCCCCCTGCCTGCCTCCCTCCTCCCTGGGCAGCTTTTTATCATTGTCCCCTTCAATCCGAACCCGAACCACACCCGATTTGTCGACTATTTCCTGGATAATTTTGCCATTTTTGCCAATAACTTTTCCTGTTGTGAAAAAAAGTAACAGAAAAGAAAGAGACGTGTTAGGTGAGATCATTCGGGCTTTGGCAGATCTTCAACATTTTTGCTTAGCTAATGTCTGTCCGCAACTGAACCACATCCAGAAGTCCGAGCAAAATGTGTCAGATAAGCAGGAAGCCAACTCACCTACTAGATTCCTTGGCACTGGGAAAGAATCCTCTTTAAACTCCAGATACGTTCTGGCCTGTTTGACTGCCTCTGGGGTCTTAAGTGAGGAAACAAAATAAACAGTTTAAAAAGAATGAAACCACTGCTGCCACTCACGTTCTATGCATCAAAGTCAAACATCAAGAAATGATGTCAACACCTCTCCATAGATGCGAAATGTGCAGCTCTCTTCTTCCAGCTCGATGGCGGTGACACCGGGAACCTTGCGGGCCTGCTGGATGTTGGCGCCATGCGAGCCAATAGCCAGACCCATTAGATCCTCGCGCACCTTCACTTCCTCCTGATACGCAGACGCCAGCTGTTTACTTGTCTGCAATACACACAAAAACACACAATGTTGAGCTGGCTGTCTGCTTAATTAAACCACAAGGGGGAATCCAGCATGGCCAGCACACTTTTACAACAATGTGCAGATAAGTAACCAAAAAAAACCTAAACAAGTAAAGAAAATGTGAAAATAAATAAACAAACAAATAGTAAACCAAGAGAATGCACAATTGGTGTAACCAAGACTGGGTAGGAGTTTATATTCCACAAATGTTAAGCTGCAGGGTTAGCTCCAAAAAACCAGTGAGCTCTGCCTAAATGAGAGAAGCATAGATGGCATTTGCTTATTTGGGTGAGTTAATATGGAGTTATTAAAATATATATGTTTGAATATTCAATTTAAAAACAAATGAGCATTTCTACTCGTATCTCAGCAGGTTCAGACCTGTCTTACATGTCATAAATAAAAGCTGTTGTATCATTTAATAGATCGGATTTATTCAGAACCAAGTAAATGATCGCTCATTTGGATCCTTCTAAAACATTTTCTTCAGGAATCAGTAATGAAACACCAGTGTTGCTCAGAAATGTTCAAATATGGTGCCCTAGCTTTGTTTGTAATCATTTATATTTGGCAAAACAGAAAAGAATTTGACTTGTAAAATGCAGCTCGCTTGGTAAAAAAGGTGAAGTAGGTGATTGTCTTCAGAAACACTTTTTGTTGTGCTGGTTGAAAGTCTCTGTACATTCCAATATTAATGATTAAAGTAAATGATCTAAATGTAATTATATGTAGTTTTATATTCTGGGTAAGACTAAAATAAGATCATTGTGGTGCCGATAATTACCCATAATTCTAATAAAGTAGCCCAAACGGTCTGTCAGCAAATGTAATTTTGTACATCTGCGCACCTCTGTTCACCCAGATCCGTGTTCATGCGGTCATGTGGACACAAGTGACAGTGTTAAAAACAAATGCTGAATCAAAACTCTAAAATCCTGAATCAGTATTGGAGTTACTTTTTCCAGCTGGAGAAAGAATAACACCATGGCTGAAGTATTTCTTTTAAACAGGTGATGTCATGTTTTAAAACCACTTTAGTCATGCTAAGCGTATGCAGATTTTGTTGTTACGAATGGTTCATGCACAGAAGTGTGTTCAGCCACTGAAATCTTGCGGCGAATGAGGGATGTGACTATTCTCAGTTTCATAAAGTACTTTTTAAAGCATCGATAAATGTAGATATTTATTTGGTTTCATAACAAAACATCAGTACTGTAAGAAGTGCTATTCCACTATTTCTGACTGATGATAAGTTTTGCTTTCTAACTACACAAATGAAAACATGCTAGATATAATAGTTTTTCGAGGGTAATTGTAGTATTATAAAGTACTATAAAGTTTTCTAACTGGCGAATGACATGATCTAGTGTGTCTCTGTCATTTTTAATGTGCACGTTCATGAGTCCAGGGGGCGTGGCTTTGGACCACAGGGGAGGGACTATGTTTGAAACATATTATGTTAACCGGTTAGCATTTAGGCTGATCACCTACTGCACCCTTAACTTCATCTTTGCTCTGAAACAGGGATTAAAATTGGTACAGTGTTGCGCTTTGTGCTTGGTGTGGTTCACTTTCGCACTTCAAAGTTTCTAAACAGACCCAAATAGATAAAACAAGTCACAGTTGAGTAAACTCTCCTCACACTGGTCAGAGTTTGGTTTACTTTCCGAAATTCAGCTCAGCTGTCATATGTCCTTATTTTAATTGATGACTATGAGCAATAAGACATTACAAGTTGCACTTTAATTTTGAATGGTGACAGCCACAGACAGTCACCAGATATAAATTAGATGTAAGACTTCCTCATACACAGCAGTTGCAGTTCGGATAAACAGCTCTCATTAATAGTTTAGCATGCTTTTTTTTTTTTTACATGAAACACATAAAAATACACATATAAGAGGACATGCAGGCATACTCATAATTCTCTCTTCATATAGCCGTATATATGGCTATTACATAACCAAAATGCACTGTGATATAGGCTGGTTAGTTAGTTCGCTGGATCGTATTGCTTTCTTAATACAATTAGGTAAAGGCCACCTTATTCTCGAACTGATTGTTTTGGCGCAGATCAGAGTGCAATTGTGGTGTTTACATATGCCAAACAAACCAAGCTGAAGAAGCAAACACGCCAGGTTCCGAAACAAACATCTAGGTGTGAAAGCAACCTTAAATGGTGTATAAAATCATTATGACATTTTTAACATGACTGACACAATTGCACTTCAAATTTCTCTTAATATTCCATTAAAATTCAGTAAAACAAGAAGTTTTAGAAATCCATTCACAGACAAGGCTATTTATGAAATCTTGAACTTGTGATTTCCGTTAAATGCTCATGATTAACTGAATAAATAAAAATAAATACAAATATTGCATGAGTTTACCTCTAAGTGTTTGGTGGCCTCCTCGTTGCGGGACATCAGCATGAGTTTGGTGCGAATACTCCGGAAGTGCATGTCACTCAGTAGCCCAGCTCGTTTCACTGTAGACTCATTTGTAGACTGAGGAGAAGCAAATGCACATCTTCAGATACAAAGCTATCAGTATCAAAAAAATCACTATTAAAAAGATCAAATAAAAACTAAACGCTGACCAGGACAATTAGTTGGTGTGTAGAGGTGTTATAGAAGATGCAATTTGCTCCGATAGCTTTCCTGAAGTCTTTGTGGATATTTTCGGTCAAACAGCTGCATGGTTTAGACAGAAAAAGAAATATTAACAGTTATTTCCAAACCTCATATTCAATACAGAACTCTCCAGGATCCAGTTTTTATATTAAACAAAGTGACATTACAACACATTGATAAAACTGAACCCTTAAACTGCATTGGCCAAACATGGATCAAAATTATTTAAATAAAATTGGAAAATAGCTTGAAAACACCTCCTGAATAAATGTTGTCTAATGTTCTTGACAGATGATACATGTAAGCCCATTATGTAAAAAAAACAATGTTGCTGCAGATGAATAATGTAGGCCAAATCATATTTTCCTTTAGTGTTTTGTTGAAGACTGCACTGACCTCATTTGGTCAAATCAAACAACCAAATTACAAATGTACACAATGTCTTGACATGAGAAGATATGGAAACACAAGTTTGATACCATCAGAATGCTGCATATGTAGCTTACATGTCTCTGAGATCCTCTGGTACAGCGATGGGGACTTTGTAGAAGGAGTTTTGAGCCGAGGGGCTGTTGGGATTGACAGGCCGGATTCGCTCTGATGTGACAATTTCATTGTATGTGGCGTCGCAGGCTGCATACTCGATCACATAGAACTGTAAAGACAAAAACAAAACAGACATCACAATGCCTATCACCACATTTCACCAAATTGAACCTGAAATATCAAACAGAGTTGAGACATTTTAAGACTTGATTTGATCAAAAGGTTTTTACAAGATGTCGTATTGGACATACAAGATTAACCCATGCCATATTGCTCAAAGGTGAAGAAGACCCTACTCAATGTTTGCACTGCACAACTCCCCTTACTGTAAAACACGTTTCTGGACTGTGCTGCTTTTAATGATTCCAGAAGGCTTTTTTATGAAATGAACTCTATTAAGGACATTTCTTTAAGGACACCAGGATTTTTTAATGAATTTTTCTAATGTACCAGTGTCAAAAATCTAATTTAATTTATTTATTCATTTATTTGTTGTTTTTAATTCTATATTAAAAATTGAAATGTTCTTGCCATGAAAATAGCCTTGGTTAAATAAATACATTACATAACGAAACAAAATTCCTGCATGCACGTGACCTGTCAAAGCAACCCTCCACTTTAAACAGTTACAATTTTTGAATCCATTTAACTTATTTCTAGATTTGGCAGGAGCACTTTTAGCTTAGCTTAGCATAAACCATTGAATCAGATTAAACCATTAGCCGAATTTGGCTGCAGTAGGCACAATGATTTTACACCGATTCTAACTGGTGGTGCAAGTGCAGGGTGCAGCATAGTATCATTGCACCTGCTGCAGCCATGGTACGACAGTAAACTGCTGCAGGTGATTCTTGCATCTATCTATACACTGATGATACCATCATTTATGGATCTAATTCTTCTCCGACTACTATGCTTTCTTCACTGCAAGCCAGTTTAAGCAACCAACATGCTTTTACCAATCTTTATTTAGTTTTAAATACTAATAAAAATTATGTTTTTTAATTGAAATTTTCCACATGTTGAGTTTCCTCCTAAAATGTCCTCATTGGACGGTACTGACAGTGATTATGTAGACTGCTACAAATATCTTGGCATCTGGTTAGATGGTAAACTGAAACTGTGAGATCAAATGTTTTATATCAAAATAGCAAAGACGCATTTTCGAACATTAAATAAAATCGTTTATTCATTTGACAATTAGGCATCTAACAAGTTGGATACACAAACAGTTTTAAATTTGCCTCCTAATCAACCAGTCTGGTTCTTTTTGTGATAATGACCAGCTGACTGTTTATTACACAAGTCACAATGGCCTCTTTCACAACCTCGCAACTTTAAAGGCACAGCAAACAGAGCAAAGCTGCTCAAAGACGGTTTTGTTGTGCGAGACCACTAGCTCAAAATGACAGTAATTAGTCAATGTGATGAGACGCATTAGCACAGCACACGCTCATTGCTTCTGTCTGCAAGATGGCTTCAGTCGCACTAAGGCAACATTAAGTATCTGCCGTCTGTAAGGCAGTAAAAGCAGTGGGGAAGAATATCGATTTGAAGATAATCTATGAACAGCCCATAGTGCTGCAAAACAAACCCTAAAATAAGCCAGAGAAGCCACATCTCATATCAGCAGAAACGTGCAACTATGCTCAATGAACTGGAATGCAGTCAAAAGTCAAGTCTAAATTCGTCCCATTATTCGACTGGCCCAGTGAATGTGTGCAAGAGGGAGACGACATCTCCCCGGTGCTTCATGTAACACTGTAAGAGGTCTGACTGTCAACCCATGTGCTGCCTTAACCTAATTAGGCCACAATGTGTGAAGCACGTTCGAAAAAGACTTTGTGTCAGCAAACAAGTTTTGAGAAGGATTAGAGAGTACATTAATACTTTTGTATTAACAGTTTCAGTAATTAAAATAAAATAAGAAATGCTGCCAGAAGCCCCCTATGTCTAAAATAAACGATCACAAGTGCTAAATAGAAATAAAAAGTGATATGGTTTAGTGCAGGCGTGGACAAACTTTTCCTTATGACAGCCCAAAAAACAAACTTGATTGAGGGTAGTGGGCTGAAGGTGGCATGGGTAATTGGACTAATTTATTAAAAGATGTTTAGCAAAAGACTAGAAAATCTTGCTTAATATTAACCTTAATACAGATTTTTTTTTTACATTTAATAATGAACTTATTACAATTAAAACAAAAACATTCTATTCATAACAGAACTACAAGTTTTTCGCTCGCTGATGTCTTCTGCATAGTCTTCTATAAATCAAGAGACAATATTTAGAATTTTTATTTAAGTCAGACTCATTTACAACATTTGACTGAAACATTTAATCTCAGTTTGCTTTTTTTGTAGCTCAGCAATAAAACAAATAATAAAAAGGTTACGTCAAATTAGACATAATGATCTCTGTGTTTAAGGCGTTCATCCCAAACCTCTCCATCGTACTCACTTTTCCTCTCAGATGAGATAATGGGCAAAATCAAAAGCTACAATGGTCCAACTTTGGCCCGTAGGCCCTATTTTGGACATGTCTGGTCTAGTGCAATTGACCCTAGCAACCGTAGCTACACGCAGGGGCTGTGTCAAGCTTTCAAGAGAGGGAAACAGGCCATAGCGTTGTGCTTATGGATTGTGCAAATCTGATACCCGGTATCCTAAAAGTTTGGACGGGATGGTGGAATGTTTTCCCTTTTCAAAACCAAAAACCCAAGAGGAGAAATGCCAGTGTGGATCTAGCTCTGTGAGGGGTGCTAAAGGAGCGAAGTTAAGTTGGTTTTGTTTTGATATACCTGACACATTCAGTGATGACAATGACTCACACACCTCTTACCCTAAACAGATCTAAACTGCGTTTCCAACAAAAATACATAGCAGGTTTTGCTTTCCGGTTGTCTTTTTCTTTTTTAGCTCGATATTATGAGCACTGCTCCGTTTAAGCCTTCGCCATAGTAACTTCGTCATACAAATAGCAAATAGGTCACGAGTTATTGATCCTGAAAATATGCAAATCTGTTGCTAACCTTACTGAACTTCATATTTCCATCTATTTCAAGCTACGAATATTTGAAATTACAAATTACCAGAACAAAACAGAGATGCGATTACAAACTGAGCCCTTGCGATCAATATACTTTACCAGCAGCTGTTTTTCAGTCATTTATAAAGAGAACACAAGTTGTTAATTGGTTAGCGTATGAGGCGGCTAGGTTAAGCTAGCTTTAATTTTGATTGATTTATTCTCTAATCGGTTGCCTATTATGTCGTGAATATACTCCTGTAATGCATACTGCACTCCTTTTTTTTGTCTGGCTTTCTCGGACATCTCACCTGTTTGCCAAAAATTACATTATATCCCTGGCAATGTCTGACACCGGTGGTTACACATTGTAAAAGTCGTGCCAGGCACGAAAGCTTGACAGGCGTAGCAACAGTAACTAAGAAGGGCGGGGCTTAGCGAAGGATCAATTATCAAGTCATAAAGAGTAGGTTGGAATTGTAGAAGTATTTAATCTTATGAGCAGCACAGAGATGTTTTCATGTTAGCAGCTCACATTAAAAGAATTTTCATTGTCTCAGAACATTGTCACCAGTAGGGCTGTGCGATTAATCGAAATCGAGTTGCAATTTGAAGTGTTGCGATTAGCTAAAATTGCAAGAAGCCACGATATTAAATATATATTATTTAACTTCCCCAACCCAAAGCAAATGCATGACTGCTGTCTTTGTGTTATAGTCTTACTAGCCAATTGAGTAAACAAACATTCTGCCCAATTAGAATTGTGCAATGGAATTACGTGGAACACCCACAATAAAAAACTAAACAAAAACAGGAAAGCGCGAACGAGTGGGATAATGGTGCCTGCCGTTCAGAAGCATTAATAGACAAATTAATATCAAGGAGAAATAAGTTAATAGCTAATACAACTTTATATCTTTTAAGTTCCTTTTTAAACTAACACTACAAGACAGATTTGAGCTGAAGCTCGACAACAAAATTAAATCACAAATCAAAATCGCAATAACTGTCAAACATAAATAAATTTGCGATTAAATATTTTCCCCAAATCTCACAGCTCTATTCACCAGCCACTGGAAGTTTGTTTAAAATGTTTGTTTTAGGTTGTTAGATCCTACAGTTTATGCTAGCATTGTACCATACGTTTAACTCTAATGTTCCAGGTTGAATTCAAGTGAGGTTCTGCTGTTGATGATAAACAGAAACAATTCAGATGTGAAAATCAATTTACAATAAAATAGACAAATCTTGCATTATTACATTTTAAATAAACGTTTATGCATTTTTTTCCACCTCATTAATATCAGCTAGTAGACACCACTAAATCACAAGGAAATCATAAATGCCTTCATAAAAAAGCAGAAAGACGCAAACTATCTACACTTACGAAGTAACATTGCTGTTATAAGAGTCTTTCAACTATTGTCATGACCATGCAAAGTCATTAAAGGTCCCATGAAACGAAAAAAAAGTTTTTTAGATGCAAGTAACAGTATTGTTATTTCTATAGATCTATAAGCTTATGTGCTCCAAATCCGTAACAAAATTTTTAGGAGATATAAAACTGATATAAACATGTAAAGCTTGTAGTTTGTAGTTTACAGTCTCTCATCAAATCAAAATCAATCAAATGCTCTCTAGTATCTGACATGTCCTGCCCCCTTCAAGATGCTTCTCATTAGCCTATCATTTAATGCATGAACTCAACTACTCTCACTAGCAGAGCGGATATAAATACAAAAGTGCTATAGGTCGTTTTTTTTTTTTTTTTTTTTAAAGCAGAGGCGTTACGCTATGTCCCACCCTCTCTTCGCGTTTTGGTTGAGTTTACATCAAACATCAAATAAAAATGCACAGTTCAAGGCACTTCACTGCACCTTTAAGCTTAATAAACAGATAAACAATATTTAATGTGATACTGACACCATCTTCAGAATGCAAATAGTCAAAAATCCAGAGCTTTCCTTTAACCCAGGACCAAAATCTGACAGAAGCATACAGAAAATTCCAGCTATCCTTAAATAGAGCTACATTTTCCAGTTGTTGATCTTGCTCATGCATACAGAACCTATATTCTACAGCTTAAGGCAATCTGCCATAAGATCACCAGGAGGTTCAGTCTGACTCAATAAATGAGATCACTCCAGTGTTTATGGGGAACTGGGTCAGTGCTGCAGATGTGTGTGTGTGTGTGCTAAAGGCCCGCTAGAGCAGAGAGACGCAGAGAGACCCAAAAAGACCCGAAACACCCTCCATCAATATTCATATATTCACTTTGGACTCAACTTCGGAGGCCAACCGAGTGAATAATGAGAGACAGAAGCCTTGAAATTCAGAGCCCGTAACCCACATCTGATCAAACATGTGCTTATGTATGCAGTGGTCGCCTGCACACCTGGGCCTGACTTACCTCTCCCTTCATCATCCTCACCCTCGCTAGCCACCAGCCGCAGGGCTCCTGCTCATTGGCTCTGGAGTAAACCTGCAAGAGAAGGACCAGGTTGGTAAGTGTGTTTGGCACGAGAAGAAATGGTCTGTGTGTGAAAACAAAACAGCAAATTAATTAGTATTTCTTTTTACTATAAAGAGTGTATTGAGAATGGTAAAAAAATAAGACAAGGTAGACTATGTCAGGTTTGTTTGGACACAGTAGACCACCAGTTTCTGAATAGATTATTAATAAAAACCAAAAATGCCCAACATATAATGCCCAGTCAATAAAAAAACAACAACTCTAATTTAAGTGGATCGCCTTTATTTTTGAATACAGTGTGCATTTATCATTGCATTGTGACATTGCAAAAGGTTAATTTCCATCAAGAGTTGCATTCATATTTGGCTGAGATCTTGCACTGGCAAAGGAAGCACCCTCACTTATTTTTTGGGACTATGAGGAGAACTACTCTTTAAAATGTACTCCAGCTCATCTCTAATCTTTTGGTGGGGTTGAAGTCAATTGCAAATAAAGTGTCAAAATGAAGCCTTCTTTCTGAATTTGGGCCCAATGAATCTTATTTGATCATGTGCTTCTAATATAGTGGTTTAGAATAGAATTAAATGCCTTTTATCGTCACTGTAAACATATACAATGTACATAATGTAAATACTTGATGAGATCAAGTGCAGATTATTCTAACAACACTAATCACACTTAACAAGTTACAATAGAATAAACTGTTGACGATAAACAGTAGTGTAAAAATAATGGATGAGAGGAAGGTATGGGGATCTGAGTAAACAGTTCTGCAGCAGAACAAGAGCTACATACAATATGTTATATGTAAATGTAAGTTGATAAATAGTAGTGCGAAAATAGAGGATGAGAGAGAGGAGTAGACAGTTCTGAGGATGAACGAGAGATCAAGACAAGATGTATACAATTAGATATGTTTTGCATGAAGTCCAATGAATTTAAATGAATTTTAAGCCAGTCCATGGGTGTGCATGTGTGGGGTCAGTGCATGTGTGAGTTGAGAATGGTAATGGCTTTTGTAAAAAATAAAGAAATAAGATTTAAAAAAATAAAAATAAAGCTACACAGTTCATTGTTGAGGGTTAAATGATTTGTTGCCAATCATACAGGAAGCCAGAAACATTAATCACATCAATAAATGTTCATTACAACACTCAAAAAGATTCATAAAACCAAATAGCAGCTTTTGTTTTGGCCAGGCAGTGAACATTATAAAATAAACTGATAGCAAAAAAATGATGTCCATAAATTAGTATTTTGATTTAATTTGTAATAATTTAATTTAATTTATATTTGACTTAATTTAATTTGTAATAATTATGTGAATTGACTATTAAACTATTCATTAATAATGTTGTCAACAGATTTGCGATGCATTTCAGCCCTGTTAGTCAGTCAATGCCAAATAAATAAACTGATGATAACTTCCTAGTTTTGATCGACAACAGAAATAATAGATACTGATATTCTACAACTATGTTTAGCTAATCAAAATAACCAATATCATCTTCAGCAGTGTTGGGGAAAGTTACTTTTGAAAGTAGCTTGCTTTACGTAGTTACTTTTTAGGGTAATGCATTATATTATTTAATAATAATATAATATATATTATATATTTACTTTTGCGTCACCTTTTTACTACCAGGCTGAGGCTTGATCTCTTTCAGAAGTAGTTTTTTTTTTCTCTTTTTTTAATAGAGAAGCTCTGAAATTAACAGCGCACTGTATAATCTACACCTACCTTTAAAAGACACATTATTGAAGTTTATATCATTAATACATATTACAGATAATAAAAATTTTAAAATAATTAAATAAACCAAAAAGTAACTCAAATATTATTACTTGTTTTTTTAAAGTAATGTTTTAATATTACTTTTCTAAGTAACGAGTAAAGTATCATGTAACTCATGTTACTTGTAATGCGTTACCCACAACACTGATTATCAGGTAGGCCAGTCACTATATCCATTTTTGTTGTTCAATATATAATGCGCCAAAATATATTGCAATAAATTATATTATTGTCATTTTAGAATAATTTTATGCCACACATAACATAATGCCAGAATGACAATATAATATCTTCACAATGCAAGTACACTCTTCCAAAAAACACATCATATAATATTCTTGAGAATATTTCATTTAATTACAGTCATTTTTAATTTAATAATCAGGCATTAAAACCAGAATGTGAAAATGCACATCCTGAAAAATAATAATGATAATAGTTAACAAATAGGTGCCAGGTAGAAAGCAACAGAGGCTCTTATTTCAGGTACCAGATCTGTTTTCAGCTGTCAGACACCCACAGGAAAATATACTAGTAATTTATAGTAAATTTTTAATTGTGCCGTTTAGTCTTTTTGTGAATCAATGCTATTTAACTAAAGGTGTTTGCATAAAAATAGCGTGTATAATGATGGAAAGATGCAAGTATAGATTAGAATAATGAACAGAACCTTTCTGAAACAACATGAAGCAATTGCTCAATTATTTAGCAGACATCAGGGTAAATTAAATCAAACATTCACTTTCAAAGCACTTTGTTTACACCTGGTATTATTAAGAAAAATAATAAATATGTAAATGAAATCTGAAATGTTTCGACTATGAATGTGTTTGACTTTAAAATTGGCCCATTTTTAGCGCTAGACAAAGTGATGTGAAATGATCTGATACGCGTTTTCGAGGCAGACCAATTCAAAGTCTATTTCTCCAGTGATGATTTATATGAGGAGTCTTTTTTCAGGGTGTTGGAAAAGTGAACATATCCTTACCTCCACCTCATCTCCCTCACAAATGTCCTTGTGGTAATCGGTTGGGGGCGGCAACCTCACGTCACTGAACGGCAGCTGTCTCTCCGGTTGCCAGCTTGTGGAAAGAAGCCACACACACAACTGTCAGTCAGCTTTCTAACGACAGGTATAACTCAAGTTTCACTCATTTGACAACACACCTCCAAAAACCCAGTACTCGCTGGCTTAACAATCTCAACGCAGAGAGAAGCAGCACAGTTTAATGTAACGCACACTTACTCGGACAGACACCAGTGTCAGTTTAGTAAAGATCAATCTGGTGGGAAAGTAAATGATGATGAAGTGTGTCAACAATAAGATGTGATGCTTAACTGTAGCTCTCTAATTGTGAAATGAGCAACACGCATGCTCTTAAACATGCTCACACACACACAAACTTTTTTTTTACATGCTATGGCCTCAATCTGTTTGACCAAATCAGCTAAACTCACTATTATACACAGATGTAATAAAACCAAAAGCACAGGGTCATGATCAGAGAGATGATCATGCTCGTGGTTGTTCATGGGTCAGCAGAACCATTCCAAGAATGGCAGGGCCACTGTCCTGTACTCCCCTGCCTGCATACCTCAAAGGGACTATTTCTGGACCTCACTCAGCCCGAAACAGGAGAGGGGGAAAAAAGACAGATAAAGATGGGAGGAGTAGGGAGACGTGAAGGGGGAAAAGAGGGGGACAGGAGAACTATAAAGAGCTGTCTGACAGCTGCCCGAGAGAGTAAGCACAGGTGCTGAGAGAGACGGGCTCCAGCACATGGCTGAAGGAAAAGTGGAAGTGATTTATCAGTTAAGCGCTAAAGCAAACAAGCTGATTGGGAGATGAGAATTATCAGATAACACTAGGTTTGGGTGGCTATATGGTAATATGGTATACCGCTGGATCTAAAAATAGTAACGGTATCCGTTTTAATACCGTTATACCGTCATAAAAAAACAATGCACTTATATAGGAGACAAGGATTAAATACAATATATTTAATGTCTAAACATGCGTATACATGGTTGACATAATGGTGCGAAGAAGAAAGAGAGGGGTGGGGAAAGATGTCGAGTTGCGCACCAAATGACCTGATCTTGAAAAAGAAATCAACAACTGCAGTTTGGCAGTATTCCGGGTAAATACGGACAAGGACATTTTCAAATTGTGCAACAAAAAGGAGACCACAAGAGATGGAAATACCTCAAACCTAAGGTCGCATATACAATATTCAGTTTCTGAATGGTTTTGGCACAAGCCAACATTTTGGTGATGCTGTCTGAGCCTTACGTCATAATTTAATTATGCACGAGTGTACCAAGGTCAAACAGAGAGAGGGTTGACGCCATCAACATTTGGATAATAATAATAAATTTTATTTGTATAGCACTTTTCCAACATACATGCAACTCAAAGTGCCTCACAAACAACTAAAAAGCATTAAAATAGACCACAAAAACTTGTCACATATACTCAGATAAAAGCATTCATGTCATTTTTAAAAAATGTTTCTGAAAGAGGGTGACAATCATTCTAAACAAATGCTTTCTATTTTAACATATTTTAATTTATCCCTGTTATGGCAATGTTCAGCTTTCAGCAGTCATTTATTTCTCCATTCTCCAGTGTCACATGAGCTACCAGAAATCAATCTAATAGGTGAATATGGCGCTCAAGTAACATTTGCTGTAATTAAATCACAGTTAATAAAGTTAAAAGAAGAGCATTTATTTGAAATAGAGACATTCGGTAACATAAAAAATGTTTACTGTAACGTTTGATCAATTCAATGCATCTTTTTTTGAAATACAGAAAAAGTATATTAGGCATAACCCGTTTCAAGGTTTACCACGATTTGGAAAAGTCAAGGTTTTAAAACCACCAACATTTTCTGATATATCGTTCCTAAGGTATGTGTAAAATTTTTTATTTACATTTTTTGAAAAACATTTTTAGGACAACAGTATCAGATGCTGTTTTAAGTAGTAAAGAAATCTGTGTTTTTCAAACTAATGAAGACAGCAGAAGTCAACGATTCATTTGCATTATTTAGCCTGACATGTTTACTGGTCCAAACATGTTTCTCAAAATCAAATATATTGTGTTTAAAGGGAAAAGGGTGTTGTTTTTAACCTGGACATTTAAAAGACACATATTGTAGAGCAGTAATCACAATACAGAGAAACTGTGATATTTTTATCCAAGGTTATCATACCATCAGAATCTTATGCCGTACCCATGATTAAAGTATATACAACATACAAGTATATAAAAGTATACAGTATAAGCAAGTGCTGCAGTACAGCTACTACTTTCCTCTTAAAGAGCCAATAAATTGTCTAGAAACAGGGTAAAACTGTACTCCTCTCGGCTAACATTATATTTTTGCTGGTTGTGTAGGTGTCAGAAGTGAACAATCACTAGCAAAACCTTGTAAAAAGAGGCATAGACTTTGGGAAAGAGCGTGGACAGGAAACGCTCAGCCAACTTACTTGTTTTCAAAGACTATTGTGAGGGAGTCTTCGTGTACATCTTTGATGAAACCCTACAAAAAGAAGAAAAAATATGATCAGCATAAGTGTTTGCCATTGAATCATGTTGGCATCTGTTTCTTAGGGAGTTACATAGGGAGCAAACAAAACTTGTGTGAGGCAATGTGATATACATAGCATGTGCTAACACACATTTAGCTCCCGAAGCAACACCTATGCCACAAACGTGGGCACATGCATGTCACAGGTGTAGTACAGGGTAGCATGTGAATGTGAGACGTAATTGAAGGGGTCGGGAGGAGGCACTCAAAGTCCCCTCCTCAAAATCTGTTCCTCATCCATCACTCCTCCTTCCTCTACTAACCTCAGAGCTGCCATAAAACGATTACCCCAGTCGCCACCCCCATTATAGCTTAGCTACATACTGCCAATGCCTAATATGGGACGAAGTGGCTGAGACGAGGGTGAATGAAAAAATTAGACAGAACGAGTTCCAGTATGTAACCTGCTTGGAAGAGGCAGGCTAGTTTCCGGAAAACTGGCACAAGCACATACTGTATGCAGGCCTATTTAGAGCCATGTGCATATACATACAACCCCTTAATGCATTAACCTGCATTATCACGCTTGCCAAATAATGAACCAACTATAAAAGATGATCCTACGGTATTAATTTATGCACGTCAATAGGACAAGACACTAAACCAGCGTAAAAAGAGCTGTAAATCTACATGTCCAAAAATGGAGCTCCCTTTACAAGCTTTTAAAAATGAAGATTTAACGCCTGCTAATTTACAAGTCAGCAAAACAGACTAAAAGCAGCTGGGCAGGCTTTTAATATAAACTGTCCCATGTTGAAACTGTTCCAACATACTAGATTGTGAATTTACATATTAGTGTCTGCTGGCCAGTTCTGTGCAGGAGAGGCGTTAGGGTGGCCTTACGTTAGGGTGGTATTTCTGGATATGTAACACTACAGGCATGCAGGACCCAAGAGGATGAGTGGCAGATAAGTAGTGTATGACAAAGACCCTCGGCCACGTGGAGGTCTCCATGTGCATCTTCATTCATAGCATTTGAGGGAACCTTGAAGAAGCTTGATTTGAAATAAACTGCATGACTACAAATTATTTTACAATTTATGACTTATGGAAAAAAACATCAATATTGGGGCAGACTTTACACTATGTATACACTGTATACTTGCTGTATATTTGCTCCAACTCATAGTTTGGTTACAAGACCCAAGACTTTAGAACCAATGTTGTATCTATTAAGGGCATTTCAAATCTCAGACCAGACTATTTTTATTAAGTGGTAAATAGTCAATGTAAACTCAAATTTAAGTTAAAGCCTGCAACAATTAAATGCTACATTTAAAAACCTGAAAAGAAGAAAGAGTATTCAAATAAAATAGGTGCTACTAGGACTAAAAAAAACAACAAAAAAAACGTAAAGACAGCAAATGATGAGACCAGAAAAGAAGAGAGTTGGTCAGTTTTGGTAGGGGGTTGTAGAGTGTTGGGTGTCAGCAAAGAGATCACCTGTTCCTCTTCCACCTGCTTTGGCCCCTCAGACTTCTACAGCTTGAAACAGCCGACACAATCACTACTATCCTTAAATCACAACCTATGACATAAGATGACCATCCATACTCTAGTCATTGATATAGAGACCTTTTTTAAATGTAAAACAGCATGTTCTTCACGAAAGCAAGATAAGTGGTTTCCCACTGTTTAACTTGAGCTCAAACTGACCAAACAAAGAGAATATCACTGTGAATACACAACCAATATGAAAATTAAACGACCCAACCTGACACTTTAATAAGCTAGTCCAGCCACAGAGTATCTATCTTAAACAGTTAAAACCAAAAATAAAAAGTGATCATCATTTAGGAAGAATGACAACATCAGACAACATTTGCTTAGACTGCCTGGAAATAATTAAAACACTGTCAGTCCACACTTTGACTGCCTTTCCTTTTTGTGGAACAAAGAATAAAGAAAGGGTTGTGAACAAGATGAGGATGATACATGATGGCAGAAATATCATTTTTGGCCTTAACTTCCCCTTCAAGCACTGATGAAATGTCCCATCATGTCTCTCAAAACCAAGTAACCTGCTCATCCTCTCATAAAATCTCCCAAAAATGCTGTCTCTGTACGGCAGCTCGCTTGATTTTGAGATATAGCTACTGGCTTCTTGTCTTGTTAGCTAACCTGCTAAAATGACTCGGTGATTCCCCTGTTTATAGCTGAGAAATGAGAAAACAACACTGTACACACACAACCAGGCCGATGATCATTAGGTCTCGGGCCTCTTTGAAAGTGATACACATGACTGCATCACATCTCGGCTGTCCCGACCCGCTCGCTGATGCGTACACTGGAGCTTTATGGTTTTAAATGGGTTCATTTTAAATGAAGTTACCTTGTAGAAGGCCCCGTTGGAGCCGCGCACCTCCACCGCCAACCCGTCCATGTTCGTCGTCGCTTCCCCACGGCTGTGCCTCTCTTTAGGCGCTACGATAGCGTGCGAGTCCGGTACCACCCCCAGCTTCACGGGCCTCTCGCCGTTCTCCGGCCGCTTGTGTGTGTCCAGTGTTTCGGGTGAGAGAGGGGGCAAAGGTGACGGGGGAACACAGGAGCCACAGGGAGGGGGTTCAGCTCCGACACCCCTTACAGCAAGGCAAGCCAACTCGAAAACGGCTGCCTACAGCGCGAGGGAAGCTCGCGGGAGTGCCGTTAGTGGCCGGTCTGGAGCTGGACTGATGCTGTCTGATGACGGTGGATGTAAACGAGGTGTTAGCACAACAGCTAGCGCAGCCGCTAATCAACGGGCACCGACACCTTCTGGCACTTGATCTCGCGGCTCCTGCATATGTCGGGATGATTCTCGTAAAAATCCTCTATGTTATTTCTGAAAACGCTGTTGATTAGGACGTCTGTTCTTTGATAAGACTGTGATGCTGTGCTACTTCACCCTTCCCCTCCAACACACGCCGTCAGAGTGGAGCAGCAAGACTGTGAATGACCCCGAAATCCCCACCCCTCTCCACTATACGCCCCGCCCAGCGCAGAGTTTGAGGCTTTGATTGGTCTACCATACTGCCACTCACTAACAGCTGGAAGATCTGATTGGTGGAGCTGTCGGGGGCTGGTCGATGCGGACTCGGTGCTCGCGGCTCCTGGTTCGCCGGGTTTGTCCTATTAGCGCCAGTTGTGTAGTTGCTATATTTGGGTGGCTCTGGTTGGTTTTTGACGACAGACCCACTCCTGATTCACAAAAAACTCCGATATGTACGTTTCATGAAACGACCAGACTTTATAAAAAGCTCGTTATTTAGGAATACTGATAAATAAATATAATGTGTGTCAAACGCGAGATGCAATTTCTATTTTGAGCAGATGCTTTCATAACACACCGTGCAACCGCATGAAAAACAATCATGAAATGTATCAAATCTAAAACACTGGTCTCACTCTGAATAATTTGATGCATTAGGCACAACTGATTGATTTTGTATGTAAAAATCCGTAAAATCAAAGAATTGACATGAAATGTGTAATCAAGCCCCGTGACAGGTCCACTAATTTATTTTTCAGCAATACTTTATTGTTGTGGATGTTGGATGATGAAATCTCACAGCTTCAAGTTTATTGTTGAACTGGGTTGGGTTATACTGGGAAAACAGGCCAGTAGCCTGGTGAAAGGGATGGTTCTTTTTTTTCAAAAAGTGGACCTTTTTGCAGTTATTCACCTCAATTTTCTATTAAATGATTAGATCTAAATACTGTATTTTGAATTAAAACTAAATGGGAGGAAGAGTTGGTTATTGATATTGATGAGGAAACATGGGATGATGGTCTAAAGCTAAGAAAATATCTGTTTGTACACGTACAAGGGAATACAATATAACATAATACACAGTCTCTATATCGCTGCTAACCGCAGACATCTAGTTAACACTTCTAATTCACCTACATGTGTTCAAAATGTAAAACTGATGCAGGTACTTATGCGGTTATGTAACAAACTGAGGTTCTGGTCCTTAGTGCTGGGGGAAATGGAAAAGATCTTTAACATGCCGTTTGATTTTGACCCAGTTTCATTGATTTTGGGTATACCTAATGGACGCAGTTTTTCATCAGTTAATAAGAAATTGTATAACATATTAACCTTAGCCGCCAGAAAAAATTATTTAGCTTAATTGGGTTAGTGATAAATCTCCATCACTTAAAGGTTGGCACAAGATATTTTTAAAGTTAATTCTTCTGGAACATCTCACCCATGTTTAACACACAAACATTTTTTTTTCAAAGTTTGGACTCCATATTTTGATTATGTGGAACCTGGTCTTTGCTCCATTGTGCTAAAAGGAATATAGGTAACTGTATCGTTATCTGAAAAATTAAGAAAAAAAATCCTGGTTGCCTTAAAATTTTAAGCTGAATCAAATTATCCTTGTGAGTCTATTGAATTTATATTATGTTAAACTGACTTAAAACAGCTTGCATAATTTATTAAGTTAATGAATGAATTAGCCTATTCATTACTTGATAGTATTTTAAAGGGATGAAAGAAAATTTAAAGGGATGGTTCACCACGTTTTTTTTTTTTTGTTTTTTTTTGCTCATCCTCCACTTGTTCCAAATCTGTTTCTTTTTTTCTGGTGAACACAAAAGAAGATATTTCAAGATATTTTGCTGTATTTGTTTTTCCCATGGATGTAAGTGGTTAAAGGTTTTCAGCTTTCTTTAAAATATCTTCTTTCGTGTTCAACAGAAGAAAGAACCCATTACTGTATATATTTGAGGTTAAGAAACTAGTAAGCAAATCTTTGGGTTAACTATTCCTTTAATATGCATGCGTCTCTTTATAATATAATATAATATAATATAATATAATATAATATAATATAATATAATATAATATAATATAATAAATATAATATAATATAATATAATATAATATAATTAATATAATATAATATAATATAATATAATATAATATAATATAATATAATATAATATAATATAATATAATATAATATAATATTGTTAGCATTTTTACAGTGTACTGAATAACTTTATCTAAAAGAATGTACTGGTCAGAAATGTAATCAAAACTAAATTTATATCTCAAAGACAGTTTACCACAGAAGTCACAGCAGAATAGTTATGTTACTATTGAAATAAGTAAGTAGTAGTATCTAATAATAAGAACCAGTATCTAATGAATAAAGACTTATATATAATATAAACAGTATATAATGAAAAAATAACAATCCCTACAGTCTCAGGTCATTATAAGGAAGCGACTTTGTTCGAAGTACTAATTTCTTTAAAGTGCAATATAGTCATGTTGGTGACTAATATGTATCTTTAAGAAACCAACATTGATTATTTACGAGCTAATAAATAAGTTATATAGACCCTTTAGATAAAGTTGACTATAGATTGACAACTCTTGCATTTCTAAGTGCTATTGAATAACTGCCATTATATAATATATAAAGAGTGGTACATAATGAACAAGTATAGTAACCAACAGATTTAAACAATAGTCATGGAACGTGTGAACGCCCTAGGATGTTGGCTGAATTGAAGTCTCTTATTGATGTGTGAGAATTGACAGCTCAAAAAGACTTTGAATGAATGAGAGGGTGCAAAATGTAGGATGGGGGTAAAAGCATGACAGCTGAAGACAGCAGATGTTTGAGGTGTTGTGTCAAACAGCCACTGTTTTTTAAAGGCAGTGATCCTCAATAGTGAATTTTTTTTTCATAATTTGTTTAAAATAGGAATTAATCGTTTAATATAAAACAGAAATTAATAGTTTTAATAATCTAACAATTATTTCAAAAGGTCAGTAAAGACATTTTTATTATAATGTTACAAAAGGCTGCTATTTTAAATGCTGTTCATATCAACTTAATTTAGTTTAATTTTCAGGATTAATTAAATCAATGAATTATGAAAAACGTTAATCAAGAACCAAATCAGCAAATTATAATAATGGGGAAAACGTCATGCCTGTAGTGACATTTTACCACCAACAGAGGGAAATGTAGCTCCATAAAGATCATACGTCTGTCATTGCAAGGTTTTGAATAGGATTGGCGTCTGTCAAGCCTACAAAAAGCCTAACCTGAAGGTGAATAAACCTTAAATAAAACTTTAATTGCATCTTTTTATCCACAGAAGAGTAGTTTTGAGTGCATTTATAAATTAAAAAGCTGAAGTATATGGTCCAGTGGTTCTGCAATTAACTGTAGCTATGAATGTTTGTCTTTTAAACTTTTTAATTGCTCTAGCAATTGCAATTTTTATGCAATGTGGGCTTATTAATTAACTTTAAAATAATAACCCTTTAACACTCTCTCTCTCGAGAAGCATAACATTTTACAACTTTTTATTTCACATGCAGCAATGTGATGCCTCACCCCATTTAACTTAACGTCTGAACCGGTAACCATACAGAATCATAAATGAAATCAGTCATGCCATAGAAACTACTGAAAATATAATGTTTGGGCTGTGGATAGACAGCTTGTGGGTTTTGGGGGATAGTTCACTCAAAAATGATTTCTCGGGTTGTTTCAAACCCTATGAACGTCTTTTGTCTGTTTTTACTGTTATCTCTAATTAAAAAAATATTTTTGAAGAATGTTAGTAATGATTGATTTCCAATCCCTTTGTGAACAATTCAAACAACAAAAAATAAGATACAGAATCTTGGTGTGATTATGGAGTCAGATCTGAGTTTCAGTAGTCATGCCAAAGCAGTAAGTAAATCAACATAATCTCAAAAACATTACAAGAATTAGATGCTTTGTTTCTACTGAGGACTTATGAGAAACTTGTTCATGCTTTTATCAGCAGCAGGGTGGATTACTGTAGTTCTTACAGGCCTTCTTAAAAACACAGTCAGACAGTTGCAGCTCATTGAACGCTGTGGCCAGGATTCTGACCAGAACCAGAAAATCAGAGCACATCACACCTTTCCTCAGGTCTTTACACTGGCTCCCAGTCATTCAGAATAGATTTTAAAGTATATAACTGGTCTATAAATCATTAAATGACCTCAGAACATTACAGATATGCTCACTGAATCCAAACCTAACAGATCACTCAGATCTTTAGGATCATATAAACTGAAGATTCCAAAAGTTAAGTCAAAGCAGGGTGAATCTTCCTTCAGCTGTGCAACCTGCAGCTGGAATCAGTTTACAGAAATGATCAGATTTGCTCCAACAAAAGGCACATTCTAATCAAGACAGAAAACCCATCTGTTTAGCTGTGTCTTAAACTAAATGAGCGCTGTGCTATGCTCCACAGATTGCACTATTATGTTTTTATTTTCTTTTTTCATTCTTTTATAACCTGTTTTGACACATTTTAATAAGTTTTTAATAATTTTTATTTCTTTTAATCATTTTTTTGTTTCTTTTATTCATGTTGTAAAGCATTGAATTACCATTGTGTATAAAATGTTCTATATAAACTTTTCTTGCTTTTAAAAATCACGTAAAATCTTTCTCCACAGTCATTCTTTTAAATGGCATGTATTATAATATTATGATAAACAGAATTTAATGTTTTTATTTCAAGTGTAACCCCGCTGGTCCTACACCCCCCAATGCTGGTATCGCACTGGCGACCTTCTGCATGGGAGTTGGTTGCTCTACCAAGGCACTTACTAGCTGGCCTCCGTTACACAAGCAACATAAAAAACTGTAGGAATGACAAATTATTTTTGTGAGAATCATAAGTAACTGATAAAATATTAGGTGTTTTCTGTTTATAAGTAAATATTTGGGGGCAGCTGTAAATAACATGGGGCTAAATTCTCTTTACGGTAAGCAGCACATTATTACTCAATTGTAAAAGTCATGTTTTGTCTTCCAGTAATATACATATATGCGTTACGGTTTAACACACTGTACATTTCTGATTTTAAGTGCATCAAAAAGCAAGCACATGCAGTCACAGTTGGCGTGAAGTTACCTTCGTATTATTTTATTTTACAGACACATCTCCTCCAGTAGGTGTCAGACCTGATTAGAAAACTTTTGAAGCCATTTTTGAAGAGCTTGACCTTTGCTCTGGTTTCTCGATATAATACCAGATCTTTTTAAACAGCTTACTGTACATTGTGTACAATCCTGTATGTGCTCTTTTCCCAATGTCAGCATTGTTATGATTCTGATAACTAACAAAGCTTAGCAAAGATTTTCAGATGTTATCCAAATACACAACCATTCAAAAGTCTGGGGCTCAGCAAGTGTTCTGTTTTTTCGTCAGAGTATAAGTTGTTTAAAAGTGGCCATTCACAAGTGAACATTCAAATGTGAAAAATATTGCGTAATAAACTTTCGAATAAATTTGTCATCACGTTTAAGCAAATAAATGAAAAGGTAATAAGTAAATTACACCAAATAATTTTAATAACAAGACATTTATTCAGGTATTTCAGACTAAACAATAGACCTACAACATCTGAGTCAGTGTTATTGAAATGAATCATCTTCATATTAAATCATACTTTATGACCTCTCAGTACAAAATCACAAGATTTTCTGCTGTGCGTCAAAGACTTTGTTTGATAGACATATTTCCGTCAATATGCTCATTTCTTATTTTATAAAGGTGTTTTTTTTCTATCAACTGCCTATGTTTTTATGCATTTTCATCCATCAGTATAAAAATGTAATAGCTTAACATATGTAAAAGACATTGCCGGAAACAGCTCGACAGTAGAATTTAATTTTAAATAAATCTATCATTAAAAGTAATACAAACAAAAACAATTTCAGAATGATCATAAGATATTGAAGGGTGAAGTATTGACTGATAAACATTCAGATTTGCCATCACATGAATAAATACAATTTAAAAAATTAAAACAGGACAATGTTATTTAAATATTAGTGCTTTTATTGTATTTTTGATCAATTTATTTGCATCAAGCAAAGAAAACATATAAGGAGAATGCTAAAACTAATAAAAATGGGTAAGGAACTGTCCAACACATTGTAAGGATAGACAAAAGGTTTCTTTCATGACCAGCGGGTTTCTGCTGATTTTAAAATAAGATACTGTACTTCTGAGACATTTTCAAAAGTCAGCTTTAAGAGCAATTAAAGAATATTTAAGGAATAAGATAAAGCAAACGCATTTCCTTGAGTTAATAATGGTAATTTTATTGTATTTTTGATCAAATAAATGCAACATAGGTGAGCAAAAGATTTCTTTCAAAACCCTTAAAAACCCCAAACATTTGGATAGCAGTTCTACCTGAATATAAAGACATAATTAAGCATTTTCAGAAATACAGACTACTTTGAATATCATGTATTATACCAGGGTTACTGCAGGTTTTAAAATGTACACTACCGGTCAAAAGTTTGAGGTCAGTACATTTTTAAATATTATAAAACAAGCTTCTCCTGCTCACCAAGGCTGCATTTATTTAATCAAAAGTACAGTACGGTAATTGGGAAATGTTATTGCTCTATAAATTAATAATTTATTCCACTGATTTTAATGGTGAATTTTAAGCTTCATTACTCCCGTCTTCAAAGTCACATGATCCTTCAGAAATCACTTTAATATTATTATTATTATTATTATTATTATTATTATTAAAGGTAATAGTAATACAAGCAATTATGATTGGAGAAATATTTTCATTTTAAACTACATACAATAAAAAAGCAGTTATTTAAAATTGTAATCAATTTTAAACAATTTACCAATTGCATTTTTACATTTAATAAATGCTGCCTTAATAAACAGAATAATTTTCTTTAAGGAAAAAAACATGAAAAGAAAAAAAACTGACCCCAAACTTTTGACCGGTACTGTATAACAGAGACATTTTTAAAAGTCAGCATTAAGAACAATTAAATAATAATGGAATAAGATAAAAGAAAAACCTATCTGCTTAAATTGACTAGATGTCTATGGAGAAACACAATGAAGTATAAAAAACAACATGAATTTTGAGGTTGCAAAAGATCCAGAGAAGACTCCACCATCAAAACCATCAAAGGATCCTGAATAAAAATAATAAAATAGAGCATGAAAAATGGAACTTCTATCATTCCTTAACTGTTCCTTTAACATCTATGAAAGCATCTCATTCCAGTAAAATTCCAAGGCTTTTACAGTTGAAAAGAAATGTGTTTTAGATTGGAAAAAGTTTATAAAAAAAATTTCTTAAAAAAAAAGTTATTAGAAAGAAATAATTATGAAATCTTCTCTGTAAGGTTCTTTGAGGAACTTAAAATTTTTATGGCAAAGCTGCTCTCTTAAGGAACCTTATTTTTTAAAGTGCATACAAAACCCAATGACATGTACACTACCGGTTAAAAGTTTGGAGTTTTTTTTCATGTTTTTTTAACCTCTTAAAGTCAAGTGCTATTTTGGGGTTTCCACCTGGATTTTGCATACCCAGATTCAAAAGCTTCCTAAACCACATGCAGATGTTTAAATGCTAAAGTTTGGTATCATTTTAAAGAAAACCCCTTTGAATTTTTATAAAACACTGTTGAAAGCGATTAAAATAATTGTATATGTTGCTTGTGTCATAATAAACCCCTAAAAAAAAAAGAGGCACTTTATTTTTGTAAACTCAAATTTGAAAGTGTACCTTTTAGGTTTGTGTGGTCTATGTTGCTGTAATTAATTCAGTTGGTTTCTGCGCATGTCAGTAATTAGAAAAAAGAAAAATGTTATCGTTATTCTATTCCAACCGATTAGAGAACGGATCCACTTACGGAGGTATGTGGCCAGTACGCACCTTTAAAATTTAAAGAATGCGATAGTAAATGATGTCACGGACCCGGTACCGGGTACTCAGAGCTTAGAAAATTATTCTGTTAATCAAGGCGGCATTTATTAAATGTAATTTTTTTTAAAAATTGTTAAATAAACTGATTTCTTATTGTATGCGGTTTCAAATGAAATTATTTCTCCAGTCATTATTGTTTTTTTACTATTACTATTAATAATAATAATAATAATAATAATTATTATTATTATTATTAAGAGTGTTTTTTGAGTGATGTAAGTAATGAGTAATGAAGCTGAAAATTCATCTTTAAAAATAACTTGAATAAATTATTAAATTAAATTATAAACTACTTTTGAACAGTTATTTCATAGTGCAATAACTATCAAAATTTTTTAATTTTGTGCTGTATTTTTGATGAAATAAATGCAGCCTTGGTGAGCATAAGCTTATTTTAAAACATTTAAAAATCCTAGTGACCCCAAACTTATGACCAGTAGTGTACATTTTGTCCAAGGCTAAACTCTAATTCTCTTTTTTTTTGGCAGTGCATGCACCTGTTGACACGTATACATTGTGATTTACGCATTTTGGTTTACAGCCTGTTAAAGATGTGCAGAAACCCTGTGGACTCTCCTCAGGCTGTTGAAACCTCGGACTGTAGGTGCAGGAGGAGGAGATCTGACACGTGTGCTTTAGTGACAGCTCTGCTATAGAGGACGTGCCTCATACCAGCCAAGTCTTTATGACATCACTGACGTGTCCCAGTGGTGACAAGTAATTTGTCAAATCTCAGTCTGATAAGACAGTTTCACGTCATGAGTGAAAAAAAAGCTGCCCTTCTGCTCATGTCTCCAACTCCAACAGTGATTATCATCAGCATGAGGCCGCTAAACATCTGCGCTGAGGCTGAGACGGCCTTTGGGATAAGTTTGTACTCGAGAACTCCGGTGGACCCTGTGACCTCTACAAGGGCAAAGAAGAGACCTGCGAAGCTCCTGTCGTGCATCATTGCAAAGGAAAATGTAGAAAAGAGGGTCTAGGAGGGTGTTGAGGCTGGTGAGCCCGTAGCAGATCCGATAGTACAGGTAGAGGGAAACTTCCACCGAACACTGCTCTTTACCACTTTCCGTTAACAGCAGGGTGACAAATCTATAGCCAACCACTAGATGATAGGGGCCGAAAATGACAATGAAGATGACGGTGATGACAACCAAGGTGGCGACAATCCTGCGACGTTCGTGATCCGCCACAGACGGGGAGTTTCGGAGAGTCCGCCCAATTCGGGCTGAGGTGTACCTGAAAGTGAGTGGAAGGCCAAAAGGTTATGAACGATACATTCCTTTACAGAGACAGACAGTGTATCTGTGGTTCTCATCTCTACAATGGCATCTTGTCGTCATGCTGATTCATTCCTAGACCTGTGTGTTAAGACAACGTGTTTCTAACATGCCAATAAATACGGGTTGCTAGAATGTTTTGGCATGGCAAACAATGCAGGTGGGTTAGAGTGTGCATGATTATAAATCTTGTGGAAATCTAGCTGAAAGCACATGTTGAGCAATTCACATTCTTGGCTTCATGTTGATTTATTTATAAGTCTGTGTGGATATATTATTTATATACAATGCCCATTCAAATAATATCACACACAATTTCAATAAGCTTCTGCAATGTCACAATATTTATTCTTGATCAAGGTTTCATGGATTTTTCACCAATATCTTTTATTGATGATGGGAGAGTCAGACCGCTACACTAAGTCCCAAAGATTATAAGGTTAAAGTCAATATGGTTAAGGTCTGGACTCTGCAGTGGCCAATCCATGTGTAAAAAGGAAAACATGGCCTTACAAACTGTATAGTGATTAAATTATATTAACATTTTAATATTAGTCAATAATAATACTAAAATTAATAATAAAAAAGCAATAAATATAAATGTACACACATTTACACAAGTAAACAAACATAAAATCAATGAAGGGCTTAAAATCTGTGGAAATCTACGAAATTCTGCGCGCGCAGATTCCATGTGGGCCTACTTATGACCAATTAATCCTGGCATTGTTGTCTTGGAATATGCTTGCGACGGCAGCTCAGTGGATAGCAAGTCCTGCATGGGCCAGTTGGCGTTTCTGTGTGGAGTTTTCATGTTGTCCCCGTGTTCGTGAGGTTTTTTTTTAGGTGCGCGAGTGTGTGTGTGAATGCAAGAGTGCATGGGTGTTTTCCAGTAATAGTTTGTGGATCTGCTCAAAGTGCGAATTTTACATTGACAATCGTGGGGTCAACTTTTTCGATATATACATGCTTCAGTGAATCAAATTGATGAATGTATTTCAATTACATTTAATGTATTAATAAAATATAGGTTTTTAGTGTTTGTTGACTATTTTAGAGGTTACTGTAGGTCAACTATACAAATTATGTGTCTAAATGTTCTTTTTTTTAGGCTACATGTAGATATAAACACCTATTTTACAAGAAATGTGTTTTGTAAATATTTAAGATGTCAATCTGTGCTCTAGAACTGCCAGTTTCAGACTGTCGAATGACAGACTGTAATTCGCAATCTGTAATTCGTAAATCTGCTGAGTAAAACATATGCTGGAATAGTTGGTGGTCTATTCCGCTGTGGCAACCCCTGATAAATAAGGGACCAAGCCAAAGGAAAACGAATAAATAAATGCCTGTGCCACCACGGAAGAAAAAATCTATTGGAATAAGCTGGTCCTTCAGTATTATCAGGTTATCAGCTGACCTTATCCGTTGGGCAAATAACATTACTGAACCTAGATCTGACACTAGAACTTCAGCATCCCCAAATCATAGCATTGCTCCCACAGACTAGTGTGGTAGGCATCACTTCATCTGCCTCTCTTCTTAACCTGATGTGCCCAGCATTTTGTAAAGGCGTAATTCTGGACTCATCATACCACATGACCTTCTCCTTTACTCCAAAATTCAATCTTTAAGCTACCTAACAAATGGAAGTCTTTTTTTCTGACTGGCCTCACTGATAAGTGGTTTTCTAGTGCCAATGCTTTATGTTCTCTTCACATTATTTGTGTTTAAGTGCTTTTGATGTCTTCATGATTAAAGATACCTGTGAGCTCTACTGTTATAGCTTTATAATTTGATTTCACATGACATTTGAAGTGATTGTTGATCTTTCTAGATTTATTTTGTCCATTTTGTAGTTGGCATGTAGATGAAATGTAACTTAAATTTAACAAATGAATCATCAAAATAGCATGACTGATGATGGTTTCCCACTATCCTTCCATTGCGTTGGACAGTTCTTTACCCATTTTTAGTAATTTCAGCGTTCTCCTTTGATGTTTTCTTTGCTTAATGCCAATAAATTGATCCTTCTGAGACAGATTAACATCTTTTGCACAACCGCAAGATGCTTCTTCTGACATTGTTGTTGAAGCTACATTTTTCATCAGTTAAGGTTCAATAACTTGTTTTTAGCTGAAACAATCATCCATGCAGTAATTATCCAATGGAGGCTCTTGCCTATTTTTTTTTTTTTTGGACAGGAAATGTAAATATTTATAAAACATATTTAGCATTAGTGTGGTAAATAGTGCTCAGGATAATTGAGTACACCCCACTTTGAAAATAAATATTTTTATTGATTTCTCAGTGAATATAGGCAATGTATTTTGGTGCATTTAACAAAACAGATGTATTAAACAGATATATTTATTAAAATAATATTTAGTCACAAACACCTTTAAAAATTGAAAGATAATGCAACTAAATTCAAGCAAAAATCTGCAATAAATTGCACAAAAAATTAGTCTTTTTGTTTCTCTTGATTTTTTCCTCTTCTTTAAATTTGTATTTCATATTTTTCGATAACATAAATTTGGGTGTACTAGTTTTTGGACCATTATTTTACGTTATTTTGCCAGATAAGCTCCAGATTTAGCTTCAGTACTGACAAATCTAATGTATATATGTACAAATATAATATTGTATAGCTTCCTATTAAAACTAATAATTTAAAAGAGAGATTTCTGGGGGGTGTACTTAGGCTATATATGCTGAGCACTCTATATACTAACTATATTTATTTTGCCATTATGATTTTAGTTTTATCATAATAACCCTTAGGCATATTCACACATCAAAACTTGTGAAAACTTACCCTAGTATAGAGCAGGGCATCAGAAACCCTAAAGCGACTGTTGCGATTTTAAAGTAAGCGTATCTGGAGCTCACAGGATACTGCTCCAAACACAGCTCTCTCTGCGGCTCGAACACAGACGGGTACAGGCCAGTCAGACAGAAGAGAAATATCAAAGTCCACACGACCACTCCGGAAAATGCTGCCACGCGTACTTTCCGTACACCGCGACTACTCAAAGGATAGACGATCGCTAGACAGCGGTCCAGAGCGATGAGACAAAGAAAAATGACGCTGGCATAGAGATTAACGTAAAACACGTAGCCCACAAGCTGGCAGGTCACGGACCCGTAAGGCCAGTGGTGGTCGCCTTGCAGGTAGAGGATCCACAGTGGCAAGGTGAGGAGCTGGAGCAGGTCTGAAAGCAGTAGGTTGAGGATATAAACCAGCTGGCAGCCTCCTCCGCCTGACCGACCCAGCTGGTACAGACCCCAGAGGGACAGCAGGTTGGCTGGGAGGCCGATGGAGAAGGCCAGGCTGTAGATGTAGGTCAGTCCTACTCGGTCGTTTGCCAGGGGGATTTGGCAGCTCCCATTGGTCAAGTCTGTGGGAATTTTTTGGAAAAGACTTTTGTTTAGTAATGTGGTTTTATTAGGAATGTGCAATTTATTGGTGATATTAGACATTATATTTATCACTGTAATGTCTCTTTTGTTTCTATAGCACAATTTGTGCCAAAGGAGATTTAGGAAAACAGGCAATAATCAAAAATATTAGGTATTGGGTTTCATCGTTCAAAATTCAGTTCATTAAGCACAAACAGATCCACAGAAGGCTGGTTTTGTTCTAGTTCACTGATGATTTGGTTCAGCACAATACAATGTGAAAGCCATTGTTCAAGGATGTGATTCACTGATAGGAAGCTCTAACATCCCAACCAACTAAGCAAGCCAATAGTCAATATGATTCAGTGCTGAATCAGTATTAGGGATGAACAATATATGCAATATCACACGAGTAGCAGTGCGGCTGTATAGCTGCACTGGTGGGAGACATGCGTAAGCACGAGGTCACAGGTCGAGTGCCTTAGTGCCCCCACCAGTGCCGATATACAGCCATGTCACACTGCTACAAGTGTGATATTGCGTTTATACAACAGTTTGACGGCATAATTGTGTATATAAAAACAAAATCAAACATCATGGAGAGTCGCAAAAACTCTTTTGTTTGAGGAACTACTTTCTTCCGCGTTGAATTCAAATCATAAGCTGACAGTTATACAGCTGACAAAGCATATATATATATATATATATATATAAAATGATGATCATGTTATTTTACATTTGATTGTTAAATGTATGTACTTAAATACTGTTGGACTCCCAAAAAACTATAAAGCACTGTTTATTTATTTATTTTTGCTTGTAATTTATTATATTTTATGCCGATGCACTGCATAGAAAAAGACTTGACCAACCCAGTTGATCTAAATTAATGAAATCTTTCCAAATAGACATATTCAAATCATCTGGTGAAATTATATTCATATCACAATATATATCAAAATATATATTTTATTTTCCAATATCGTGCAGCCTTAATCAGTATGTGTATATATAATCTTAAATTCCCTAAAAATTTGATCACTAATAAAACCAAACTTTACACATTTGCATTTAACAGTTTGGGGTCAGTGAGATTTATTTATTTTTATTACTTAATACTTTTACAGAGAATAAAAAGGGAAAACTAAAAGATTTATATTTAAAAAAAAAATCTTTTCATAAATCAAGAATCCTGACAATAGCATCACAGTTTCAAGAAATTTATGAAGTAACATGTTTTGTATATAGTCTTTGAAATTTTTGTCTTTAGTGATGGATTTTACATTTAAACATTCTAATCCAGTGTTTCTCAACCTCGTTTCTGGAAGACCACCAACACTGCATGTTTTGGATGTCTCCTTTGTCTGTCAGACCCATTATATGCCTTTTACTCTCTGCTAATAAACTGACAATCTGAACAAGGTGTGTTTGGTGAGAGAGATATAAAATGTGCAGAGCTGGTGGTCCTCCAGGACTGTGGTTGAGAAACACTCTTAAAGCAACATACTTAAAATGTTATTTACGCAGAGCAACAATTATACAGAACCATTTGCCTCTTGGTTTTTTAAATCTGTACACAGCAATCTATACTCAGTTTAGAGAATATTTGGTCCTTCTTTAAATAAGGGCAAACAAATTCTAAGTAAAGCTGCTGTTTGTGGAGTTGCTTAATAATCCTCTGCTGAGATTTTGAGAGATTCAATGTATTATATTTCAGCTCATTTCATCTAAGGCTGTGACTAAAGTCAGTTGTAGTTTTGTGTTTCTCTTCTGTGTTTCTGTTTATTAACAGCAGCAGGTGTTCATCATTAATGCTCAATCATCACCGTATCAATCCTTTCATTGTTCCATTAACTTGAGTAATTTAACTTAATTTAGAGAGGGACCAAATACTATCTAAACTGACTAAATTTTACTCAGAGGATTTTTCTAAACATCTCATTGTCCTTGTTTTTTTTTGAAGTTCAACCATCAACTACACCAGTGTTTCTCAACCATGTTCCTGGAGGACCACAGCACTGCATGTTTTAGATGTCTCCTTTATTTGTCTCACCCATTTCAGGTCTTTCAGTCTGCTAATGAGCTGATGATCTGAATCAGGTGTGTTTGGTTAAGGAGACAAAGAAAATGTGCAAAGCTGGTGGTCCTCCAAGAGTGTGGTTGAGAAACACTGAACTACACAGACTATCCACACAATCTCAATAAGTAAATAATTTCTTTCTCAAAATCTCTATGCATTTAAGCTTTCAAATCAAAGCCATTTCATCATGTACTTTAGGTTTAAGAGAACATGTACAGGGCCCAGATATGTTCACGTAATGCTTTTTACTCTTGCCCAAATTTATAATTCTTTATAATCATTCATTCATTCATTCATTCATTCATTTTGTTGTCGGCTTAGTTCCTTTATTAATCCCGGGTTGCCACAGCGGAATGAACTGCCAACTTATCTAGCAAGTTTTTACGCAGCGGATGCCCTTCCAGCCGCAACCCATCTCTGGGAATCATCCACACACACACATTCACACACACACTACGGACAATTTAGCCTACCCAATTCACCTGTACCACATGTCTTTGGACTGTGGGGGAAACCGGAGCACCCGGAGGAAACCCACGCGAAGGCAGGGAGAACATGCAAACTCCACACAGAAACACCAACTGAGCCGAGGTTCTAACCAGCTCCCTCTTTATAATCAATATTGTTAAAATAATTACTTGAATATATGATACAAAAATAGTACTGGCAAAAATCTGACGTGCATCCCTATTCTTTTAAACACACATCATGCACTTATCGAATGATGGACAAATTTGTCAGTATGATGAACCATGATAGTCATCCCCTTTATGTCAAGTCCAAGGGTGTGCAAGCTCTTTTAGCTCAAGATTTATTCAGCCCGTGTTACAGGAAGTCATTTTTACCAACAGTGATCAGACTGTATAATCAAAGTCATACTAGATGAATTACGCTGAATTGTAAGAGCATTAATACTGTAGATATGGACTAGTGTCTACCCGTTGTTTGAAACTAAGGTGTGCAGTATGAATGTAATTGTATTAATATTACTGTCTTTTTATATATGTAATTTAATTTATTTATCTTATAGTATAGGGAGAGCACAGAAGAGCTGTGACATTTTCTTTTGGGATTAATAAAGTCTAAAAAAATACAAACAAACAAACAAACAAACAAACAAACAAACAAACAAACCTTAATAATAACTTACTCAGCAGCATGGTTTTTATGGATGTGACTGATCCATGACATTTGAATTTCAAAATCTTCAAATGTTTCATCAAATAATCCTCTACATTTTCTCCAGTCACCTCTGACAATGGTTAAGACACCTGAGCAGAGAACAAAAAAGTCACATGACACGGTTTTCAAATTAATTGCATCATAAAATAACACTAAAAAATGACCCAGTATTTATGACATTTAAAAAGAGTAAACTCTCACCTCCCCTTGGTCTGGAGAGCGTCTTTTGCACGTCCAGCTCTCCTAAATGCGCACAAACCTGTGTGTGCATTAGAGAGGAAAGTTCTGCTGTGTCCAACCAGGGGCTTGTCTGGCTTTTTGATCATTTCCCCCAGCAGGAAGCCACTTCTACTGCTTTTGAGCAGCAACATCCTGAAGCCTTTCTCCTTTAGAACAAAAACACCCTCCTGCCTGCTGGCTATTATGTGAGGCAGAGATATGAGAGAGTCCAGGCTGTTCTTTCAGACGGAAAAGCCACTGAGAGACAAGCTGTAACACCCTCATAGTAGTTTCCATGTCCCCTGTGACACCCGTCTATCCCGCTCCCACCTGCCAGATTACTGTACCGCTCTGGAACAAGCGTATACCTAGACAATGTAAAAAGTCCCTTAACAGAAGGAGGGTTCAAACCCAATGCACAACTGTGAACAATGTAATAATACAATTTAGAGATTGTGCAAATCTTTTTATTTTTTACACTCACCGGCAACTTTATTAGGTACACCTTACTAGTACCGGGTTGGACCCGCAGAACTGCCTTCCTTCGTGGCATAGATTCAACAAGGTACTGGAAACATTCCTCAGAAATTTGGGTCCATATTGACATGATAGCTTCCCGCAGTTGCTGCAGATTTGTCTGCTGCACATTCATGATGTGAATCTCTCGATTCACCACATCCCAAATGTGCTCTATTATATTGAGATCTGGTGACTGTGGAGGCCATTTAGGTACGGTGAACTCATTGTCATGTTCAAGAACCCAGTCTGAGATGATTTAGCTTTCTGACATGGCGCGTATCCTGCTGGAAGTATCAGAAGATGGGTACACTGTGGTCATAAAGGAATTAAGACTCATCAGAGCAGGCAATGTTTTTCCAATCTTCTATTGTCCAAGTTTGGTGAGCCTGTGCTAATTGTAGCCTCAGTTTTCTGTTCTTAGCTGACAGGAGTGTTACCCGGGGTGTTTTCTGCTGCTGTAGCCCATCCGCCTCAAGGTAGGAAGTGTTGTGCATTCAGAGTTGCTCTTCTGCCTGTCTCAATTGTAACGAATGGTTATTTGAGTTACTGTAGCCTTTCTATCAGCTCAAACCAATCTGGCCATTCTCCTCTGACCTCTAGCATCAACAAGGCATTTGTGCCCACAGAACTGCCACTCACTGGATATTTTCTCTATCGGACCATTGTCTGTAAACCCAAGAGACTGAAAATCCCAGTAGATCAGCAGTTTCTAAAATACTTAAACCAGCTCATTTGGCACCAACTATGCCACATTTAAAGTCACTTAAATCACCTTTCTTCTTCATTCTGTTGCTCGGTTTGAACTGCAGAAGATTGTCTTGACCATGTCTAAATGCCTAAATGTATTGAGTTGCTGCCATGTGATTGACTGATTAAAAATTTGCGTTGGTGAGCAGTTGGACAGGTGTACCTAATAAAGTGGCCCATGAGTATGTATTTATATACGAGTTGGTGCCACACAAAATCTACACCCGCAGGAATTTCTGCAGATTTCTGTAGATTTCCAACCCCATCACTCAATTTATCTATATTTATTTATTCATGCTTTTATACTCATTTCAGTAATATTATTCACAAATATGCAGATTTTCAAAGTAATATTATCTGTCTTTTAGACTAAAAGCAACTTTGTTTATTAAGTGTTTTTTTGTATTATTTTATGTGTTATGATGGTTAGCACTGTCTCCTCAAAGCAAGAAGGTCGCTACTTTAAGTACCGACTGGACTTGTTGGCATTTCTGTATGGAGTTTGCATGTCTTCCCTGTGGTCAGGTGGGTTTCCTCCGGGTGCTCTGGTTTCCCCACAGTCCAAAGACATGCACTATGAATTGGATGAACTAAATTGGCTGTAGTGTGTGAATGAAAGTGTGTGTTTTCCAGTTCTGGGTTGCGGCTGAATGAGTATCTGCTGCATAAAACATATCCCAGAATAATTGGCGGTTCATTACGCTATGGTGACCCCAGATAAATAAGAGGAACATGAATGAATGAATGATTTCAGCTAATACTCTCAAAGTCTTTCCATTTAAATTTGATGAATTTTATTTATTTATTTTCTCTATTTTTTTGCAGAAATGGCAAAAAAAAGAGAGAAAAGAGTCCACAGTCTGGCCTCAACAATAAGTACTTTTACATTAGGGTTACCTTTTTTACTGCTTGTTAAGCCAAACCTAATCAGACAAGCATACTGAGGTGAGGCAGCAACTCAATGTATTTAAGCATGTAGACGTGGACAAGATGAATAGCAATGAGGAAGTTGTTGTAGTTCAAAATTGAGCATCAGAATGGAATGAAAGGAGATATAGGTATCTTTAAAAAGGGATTGTTGTTGCCAGAAGGACTGGCCTGAGTAATTCAGAAACTGCTGATCCACTGGGATTTTCAACCCCAATCATATCTCTGTGGTTTACAGGAAATAGTCAGATAAACAGAAAATGTTATAACTCAAGGCTGAATCGAAATTTCTGCAGCAACACTGAAGCAAAGAGAAAGTAGCAGTTTTTGTGTTGTTTGCCAAAATGCTGCTGATTCTCAACAGTGGACGTGTGGATTCTGCTCCTGTGAACATGTGGAAAACGAAGGAGGGCAGGAAAGAATTCATGACCCGAGATAAGAAATACCAGGAAGTGGTTTAGAACTGACACAAGCAAAGAAGTTCTCGATTGAACCTTTAATGATGATTTAAACACATTCACAGTGGGAGAGGGAACAATATGAGGGCTGAACTGGGAATACATCTTGTTGGCTCTTTTACAGGTTGTGTTGGCTTAAAAACACACATAGTCATGTGAGAAAGATTTAGACATGCTATTGAATTCCACGAATTTCAGGATGACTAGACTAATGTAACAAATTGATTTTTTTTCAAATGAGTAAACTAGTATAAAGTTGCTGAAGTTTGCCCTGCGCGCTTGCGGGTTTTAAAGAAACTTCTTTGGTGCGTCAATCTCGTCAATGCTATTATTCAAAAAGGTAATGGTTCGCACTCATCAAGTAATTGCTTCGTTTTTCTGTTTTTCTTTTTTCTATTTACATTCTTCGGGTGATTTAAAGACACAAACTTTTCGGTATAAAAAAGGTGTTTTTTATTCAAAAATGCCTTTTTGACTAAATTAGTATTAATAAATCAGAAGTTGAGCTTCTATATATTTGAACACTGTACACCTTAACTTTTTGGGTTAACTCAAACCCTTTGAGGAAACCGATTGCAAGTAATCATTTAGGTTCAAAAACTAATCTCAATGGGTACTCTGAACTTATTCGAGTATATTTGAGTAAACAAAGTAATTTAAGCACAGTAAAATCCAATAAATGAAGAGAACTCAAACCAACTACTGTAAAACCCAATAAGTTAAAGCAACTCAAACCGTTTGAGGAAACCGATTGCTACAAAACAGTTGAATTAAACTAATCTATATGAGTACAGTGAACTTACTCCATTTAAGTTAAAGTAATGAGGTATTTAAATAACAAAGTAATGAGGTATTTAAATAACACATTACCTTCAACACTGAGTTCAATGAGTAGAATTAACTTTCAGCCAATTATGAGTTAACTACACTCATTTCATTTGATAAAGTTGACTGTTGGGTTTTACAGTGAAGAATTAAGATGCAAAAAAAAGTGCTGTCTAAAATCTATATGCACAATTGATGATTTTTCTCAGCCTTTGTTTCTTCTCTTTAAACACCATAAAAATAACATATTTTTGCCATAAAAGTGAACATTTCTTAACCTACACACAGGAGCCTGGTAGAAATGCTCATTTTAGAAGAAAATTTCAGATGGCATTTAGCGGTTTTTGGGTCTGAACTCTTCATTTACAGTAGGAAATTTACAAAATTTCTTGATATGAGATATTTTATATGAACATGATATTACCTTAATATTTTAAAGTTTTTAAAATACTAAAGAAATATAGATTATTTTGCCCTATACAATGTACTTTGGCTCATGTAAAATAGATTTAGACACCCTACTGAATTCTATGACTTTTAGGATGAGGGCTGGATTTTGACTGGATTACAGCAACATCTTGATTTTTATTACCTCTGGAAACCCTTCCAAATATGCCATATTTGTCCCATCTTTTTCTAATTGTTCTGTCATAAACTTTAACCTTTCACATGTTTAACGAGGCGTGTACAGTTACTGAGTTTTCTGCCAATTCTCTAACAACAGTATGATCCATGATACACGGTATGATCTAGCGGTGAATTTACAGGGAGGTCAACTCCTGTAAATATTGATGTGTATTTAAAATGTCTTTCACTTGCAAATATACTTCCTAACAGTGGAATGATAGATTTCTGATTGTTTGGGTATGGCTGTTTTCCTCCTGTTAGATTGACAGCAGCAACTGTTGCTTTTCAGAGAGGAATACTGATGTTTTTCCAACTTGGCAGTGCACAAAAATTAAAAATCCCGATCAACAAATTGCCAAAACTTCAACGTTTATAGAAGTGCTAAAATTAAAATTTGTTTAACTAAGGGTGTCCTAAGTTTGTCACCCACAATGATATCACTTTATTTTGATGATCCCCTTAACACATTTAGTTGAATTTAAGTCATATTGCATCTACATGCCAACTAATTCTCATTAGATTATAAGTAGACAGGTTGAGGTTAGGGTTATTGTTAGTGTAAATTGACATGTACTTGCAAAGTTTCTTATATTCAGCTGAATGTAAAACTCAACAGAAACTGAAAAAACTGAAAGTTAATTCTACTCATTTGAAAACAGTTTTATCTCAGTGTTGAAGATAACAAGTTAATTAAATACCCCATTACTTCAACTTAAATAGAGTAAGTTCACAGTACTCATATAGATTAGGTTTTCCAGTACTCAGTTGGTTTGAGTTCTCTTCATTTATCAGGTTTTACTGTGCTCAAATGGCTTTATTTACTCAAATGAATTAAGTTCACAGTACTCATTAGGATTAGTTTTTGAACTTTAATGGTTTGTTGCAATCTGTTTCCTCAAATGGTTTGAGTTACCTTAACTTTTTCGGATTTACAGTGTAGGTAACTTGTAGAATATTGTAATTACTTTTAACAATGAAAGAAAAAATAGATAATGTTGCCCTATACAATTTTTTTTTTGGCTATGGTGCAAAACCATAATTGTAAGACCCGCCAAGGATCAGATACAGAAAACCATGGAATTCAATAGTATTCTTAAATTTCACATGACTGTAGGTTTAATATTCAAATACTGTAAGTCCACAAATTCAAATAAAACACACTGCATGCTGTTTGTAAGAATTTAATGCACAAAAAAACATACAGAGATGAATGGGTTACATAATTCAATACACACGAGTTCAAGTGGTCAATACCATAGAGTCAGAAATATACTCAGTGATTCTTCATATGGCAAAGTAAAATCATTTTGTTAGGCAATATTATGGCAGTGCATTTACACCTTTATGTTTTTCAGACTACAGTTTCTGCTAATATTTTCACACTGGTTGTCACAGTAACAAAACAAGCATAGGTTCACTGTGCAAGACATTTTCTTATAACAGTTAATTTGGCAGATGCATTTGGCAGATGCTTTTATCCAAAATGACACTGCATTCAAGGTATTCATTTTATCAGTGCGTGCATTCCCTGGGAATCGAGCTCGTGACCTTGGCCATGCTCTGCTGTTTGAGCCACAGAAATGTCTTTAGCAGATGACCTGTTCTTCCCTGTTCAGACTACAAAAATCCAAATGGAAAAACTGGTTTGTGCTGCCTGCCATATTCAGTGTTATAGCCAGTTTTGCAGCAAAAACATCCAAACTTTCAAAACCCAAGTCAGTCTACCTTCCTCTTCTTGATTGATTTCCTGCAACACAAAAATCTGCAGACATACACTGACGTCCAAAAAGCAATCACAGCGATTGCCAAAAGAAACACCAACACATCAAGACTGTGGTATGAGTACCAAGCCAAATTGTTAGCCTCTGAACGAAGGTGAGCTGCGCCTTTGTGCCTCATTACATATTCAATCCAAAAAGTGGCACTATCAAGAGGAGAGATGGGTTGATCACGATGCAGTTCTGACATTTTGCGGATGCTACTTCGGTACAGTGGGTTCTCAAGAACGTCTTTGAGGCCTTCAAGAAATTCTTGAGATGTAAGAGTTGCGACTTGAAGCACTCGAGCTGCATTTCGAACCTGGAGTCGCATGACATTGTCAAACTGGTCAAAGAGGAGCGGCAAAGCCAAAACAGGGACTCCATGGTAAATAGCTTCGTAGATACCATTGGTGCCACCATGAGATACAAATGCGCGAGTCTTTGGATGGCCCAGGAGATCATTCTGCGGAAACCACTCTAAAAGTAAAGTGTTGTTACCCAAAGTTGAAGGCCGTTCTCCATGATACCGCCACATGACTTTCTGAGGGATCTTAGCAAATGCTGAAGCAATGGCCTCTGTAATTGTTCTAGGAAGAGCGCCGACCATTGCTCCCAAAGACATGAAGACTACTCCATGTTCGCCGGAGCTCTGCATGAACTCTTCTAGATCCACTGGAAGTGCTTGAGCCGGCTTACACTGAAAGCCACCCATGTAGATGATGTTTGGCATGGTGGGCCTTGGAAAATCAAAAACAAAGTCCATTCTCATCAACCAAATATCAGCAGATTGCTGCATAGACAGAAGATCACTTCCAGGCGGGAAGTGACGTTCAAGCAGTTCTCTGTAAATTGGCACAATTACGTATCGCTCCTGAAGGAGGCTACATAGATAGCGTAGGAAATTTTCCACTCGCTGTAGGAAGCTCATTTGGTCATGGAGTAGTGAGTTGTACATCGGGACGTAGGATGGAGGAGATGGAGCAGTTTGCATGTGAGCATCACCCGCATTCAGCCAGCGTACATTGTAAACCATGGGTAGCTGGAGGAAATTGGCTACCAGGACTCCAGCCGGGAACGCAGGATCTGTTAGCAACAGGTCAAATTTAGCTTCTCGCAAGCTCTTGACAAGCTCTGCATCATCCAACATGGCTGAAACCATTCGGAGTACCCCATTGTGAAACACCTTCAAAACGGTGGTGATATCTTTCTGCTGTTCGAAGAAACGAACCAACGGCGACATCTTTTGCAGTGCTAGCGACCTGTCTAACAGCATGTTAAAGTAATCCTGACCAACGTCTTCGGTCTCCACTGGGTTGACGGTGATGGTGTTGTAGAGAGCTGAGTTCTCATGGATGTACCAACTTTTAGATGAACGCACCACTGTAAAGCTATGGCCGTGGGTGTGGAGCTTCCTTAAAATGACTTGCATGTTCACCCAATGGCTGCCGTCCTCTGGAAACACCAGGATATTTCCACCATGACAGCAGCAGACCACAGACAAAAGGCAAGTCAGTGCAGATAACCATTTGGAGCTCATATCCATCTTTCACAAAGCTTAAAAGTGCAAAGAGAGAGAGAGATAGAGAGCAAGATGTTTACAATTTAACAGCCAGCACATTTCCCTCCAAAACTAAATATTTAGACATTTCACATATACAATAGACATTGTTATAATAGCACAAACTGCATGTTCAAAATGCAAATATAAATGGAAAACACTTGCAGAAAGCAGAGGTTGAATTTAGAATCAGATTTGGATTCGTGCCCAGCTACAGGACAGCTGTATTTATTTCTCATAATCATCTAGAACAAATTGAATATTCAGCATTTAACAATGCGTACACATTTTAATTATTCTTTTTTTACATTAATACACTACCTGACTAAGGTCTTGTGGTCTATCCAAGTTTTAGGAACAACAAATAATAACTTGACTTCTAGTTGATTATTTTGGTATCAGAAGTGGCTTATATGAAAGGCAAAGGCATCTAGATTAGGTTTATTTTACCAAAATAAAATATGATCATGCCTTGATTTTTTAATTATTTAATTATGACGGTAAGTTCTGACTCTGTTTAGACAAAAGTCTTGTCACAATACAGAAAGGAGGACTGCATCCATACATCTCTGCAATGACTCAAATAACTTATTAATAAAGTCATCTGGAATGGCAAAGAAAGCGTTCTTGCAGGACTCCCGGAGTTCATCAAGATTCTTTGGAATCATCTTTAATCTTACAGACATGCTCAATAATGTTCATATTCTGTGACTGGGCTGGCCAATTCTGGAGCAAGTATGAGAAGGAGCGCTATCCTGCGGAAGAATTTGCCCTTTCCTATGGTTTGTATTGTAATGGGTAGCACAAATGTCTTGATACCTCAGGCTGTTGATGTTGCCATCCACTCTGCAGATCTCTCGCACACCCCCATACTGAATGTAACCCCAAACCATGATTTTTTCTTCACCAAACTCGACTGATTTCTGTGAGAATATTGGGTCCATGAGAGTTCCAATAGGTCTTTTGCAATATTTGTGATGATTGGGATGCAGTTCAACAGATGATTTATTGACAAAAAAATCGACTTTTTGCCACTTTTCCAAATGATAAACAAGAAGTGAAGTTTGTTGTTCTTACAACTGAGATCAACAACAAGATTTTATCAGGTAGTGTAAAATAGTTAGATGGTTAGTTCACCCCAAACATGAAATATGTTATTAATTATTCAAATTCATGTTGTTCCAAACCCCTGAGACCTTTTCAGAACACAAATTAAGATATTTTAGATCAACAATCATCCTCCATAGACAGCAATGGTTTTGGCTCAATCAAAGTCCAGAAAAATGCCCCAAAACATTCTCAAATTACCTTCAGTCCTTGAAATCACATCATTTTTGGTTTAAGTTTGGTTTATAACTTGGTAACATTCACATTAAACCAATGAATGGCATATGGTCTGTTTTGTGGAAGTGTTTTGGACTTTTAATAAGCCACTGCTGTCTATGCAGGATGAGATAACTCTCAGATTTTGTCTAAATATCTTATTTTGTGTTTTAAAGATGTAATTTGGAGAACATATTTGAATTTTCGGTATTTTAAGGTACTTGGTACTTTAAGGCACGTGTCAAACTCAGTTCCTAGAGGGCCGCAGCTCTGCACAGTTTAGTTCCAACCCTAAATAAACACAATTGATCAAACTAATTGCGTGCTTCAGACTTGCTTAAAACCTACAAGTAAGTGTGTTGAAGCAGGATTGCAACTAAACTATGCAGGGCTGCGGCCCTCCAGGAACTGAGTTTGACACCCATTCTTTAAGGCATCATAAATTCTAAAAGGAATAACACCATATTAAAATAACAACATAATAAACAAATATTAAAATTAGACATTGAAATACATTACATAAACGATTAGACATTCTAGAACAGGACACATTTATAGAATATGAATTCAGAATTGCCTTCAGAATATCCTCAAAGTCAGCAATAAGCATTAAGGAAAATGTTGAACAGCACACTAAACTAAAGAAGTTGATTTCAAATCAGAGCAAGAGCATTTCTGTTTTATGTCTGACTGGTTCTATATCTAGATCACTACTTGAATTACCTGTTTTTGTTGTTAGATCATAATCCATTTGTGAGCTGGAACCAATGATGCCGATTGATGATTTCCCAGATCTTGAAGTAACAAGCAAAAACAAATGCTCTTAAGCTGTGAAGAGTTCAGCAGAAGATAACAGTCTCATCCTTAATAGCCAAGCCCGTTCTGTTAAGAGCTCTATCTACTTCCCCTACTTTCCTAAATCCCATTTCCCTATCCAGCTCCTCCCATTGGCTCTCTCTCCAAATCCATCTAGCCAGTCACTGCGGATTTGTACTCAAACATCTGCATTCAGCACAACAGATGACCTCAAACACTCCATTAAACCTTAACAAAACATGCTTCAAGAGGCATTTTAACAAGCTGCATTATGCTGTGCGCAAATACGTCAAGAATTTATTTGCTCAACACATTATGAAATATACAGATATTTAGCACATGCGTACTAATCTTCGTTTGAGGCTTTAAAGTGTTGAAGTAAAAATCCAGGAAGGTTTACTTTACCTTTTGTACGACTATTTAAAGAAAATCCTGGTGAATCTTCAACTGTCTCGTGCAAACACTGCCAACACAAACCATAGATTTCCAAATTGTATACTCAAGCACGCAAAACTGATATAATCATATACAACTCCAGCATATAAGACACGCCAAAACAGGCAAGGGGCTGTCGGTTTCACTGGCTTCACTTACTCTGTAACATGAGACCTGAAGTGGTCTGTGGTCATACTTTTGGATCAGCTTTCAATCAGAGCGAAGAACAGAAAACAACCTCATTGATCGTCAGTTTGTCCATCCATGTGGAGTTCTGAACAGAAACGCCAAGCAAAACTGGGGCACAGCAAAAAAAAAAAAGTGTCCAAAGAGGGCAATCAGCACTCCGCTCACACATGGGCTTTGTTTGGCAGAAAACAACTTGGATCAGTTACCCTTGGAGTAAATTGCTTGTATTTTCAGTCATTCTAAAGGTCCGTAATCTATTCTGTGCAAAGCAAAAGCCAGCATACTAAGTGTGTACTATGCATTATTTCAACACATTTTAGTCTTTATTTAATTCCAGTTTAATTATATAGCGCTTTTTATAATAATTATTGTTCCAAAGCAGCTACAAAAGGTGCATATTATTGCATTAGAAGTTAAAATGGAATGTAAGTTATTATACTTAAACATAGTTGACCTGCAGTTTTATAGCATATAATTAATGTCTATGTGTGCATGTTCACTGAAGTGTATTTGTGTATTAAGTTTATTCATGAGTTATACAATCACTCTTGCTCAACTGGGTCAGTAATGTGGACCAACAACTACTAAATAGGGTCTACTAATCCTTCTTTCTTACTTGTACAGTAATTTGTGACTCAGGCGGAACTTATTTGGACTAATAACAGAAGAGTTACCATACAGACTGTTGTAAAACCAACAGTGGTGTAAAGTCATGAATTACAAACATTCAAATGACTGTAATTGAGTAGCTTTTCCTCTGGAATTGTACATTAGTAAGTAGTATAAAAATGTGTACTTGAGCACATTTTCAGATATGTGTATGGCATTCCTTATACTCCATGTAGCAGTCACTACTTTATATGTTTATTTTTTTATTATCTACATTGATTGGCTAAGCAGAATAATCAATCCTGTTATTCCTGTCCAATCACACATACTGTAATCGCATCAGACAGACAATAGTCACATGGACGCTTTTGACATGTAGCAAACATGTAGTGTGGAAACATTAAAAATGTTTAAGAAAACACAAAATAGTTATATGAAACAGCCGAAATGCTGTTTAGACTGGATGCCACTGATGATAAAATGAAAGATAACTTCTTTATAATGACTGAAATCAAGAAACGACCTTAAACAATAACTGAATGAACTACAGAATATTACGTTTTCAAACACATGCAAAGAAAATACTTGTCAACTGTCGGACACTTGTTAGTCAGAGTGCATAATTATCGTACATATTGTTACAGCTATATTTTTTTCCCTTTAGATTACACAGAGTTCACTCTATATCTAAACGTTTTACATTGTAAGATGCATTCCGAGAGATCAGGTTTGACTGCCTGTATGTAAGAGACAGTATCGTTTCTCCAAAGTAATTCAAAATATAACACATACTGCAAATCCTTACAAAGCAAACACATTTTTAAAAATGAGTTCTCACAGCGCAAACAAATTAGTAAAACATGCTGCATTTTCTCACAATGCAAACAATTTAGGAAAATGCGCTTCATTTTCTCACAACAATTTGTAAATAGCACAGAACACAACGGAGATGCTTCAAGGGGACCTTAAAACCTGACTGACCAGGCTATTAAGGTTATGGTTATTTGGGCTGATAAAATACAAAAGACAAGGGAATCAGGATATTCAAATAAACAAACAAAAAACTCACCTTTCAAAGATCACCTACAACGTTCCTACTAAATAGTATGCTAAAAACATTATGCAGGTCAAGTAGTATGTCCGAATTCATAGAATTCGAAAAATAGTGTGCGATAAGTACCCTGAAGGCCTATCCCATGATGCACTGTGAGAGAATTCATGAATGAGAGTGAAGCGACACAACTGTAGGTCATGTGATTATGACAAAATGGTGGATGAAGTACAACCGAGTTCCATTCATACTGCTCACATTCATACTGTATAGAACGTACTTTTCTATTGGCCAAGTAGTACATTTAAAATCAAATGCAGATGGTTTCCAGCGCAGCCATAGCCACGGCACAGCAGCATACATCATGTTTTAGAGCGCCTTGAAACATTTCCATTGTGTGTTACATTCTTTTTGCAAGTGTTATGAGAAAATGCAGCATGTTTTCATAAATTGTTTGTGTTGTGGGAAAATGCAGTGTGTTTTATTAATTTGTGTTTGTGTTGTGAGGATTTGCAGCATATGTGCTGTCAAACTGATAAAGATCTTTTCTTATTTTGCTGGTGTTTTCTGTAATTGCATGGGTTTTCTTAAACTGCAGCACATTAAGCTCTCTTGGCCACCATAATTTCTTCAATTCACAGCAGTGCATTTATTCATGTTACGTGTTCCCACATTATATCAATCTAACATTTTAAATGTATAGTCTTTGAATGGCAAATAATTTAACTTACACCTAGAAACACCCTTGGAAGGAAACATCTTTGACGTAAGATACATTTTTATTGTGCAGGGAATAAGATGGAATCATTTTGACTGCATAATACAACTTCTATTACTTTTACTTTTACTATTACTGTAGAATTTGAGTTACAGATATTACAGTATATGAGTCTGTATGTGAGTCTAAAAACAAAGTTGATGAACCAGGTTAAAATCTGTTCAGAGATAATAGGAAATTATTGAGAAATTATATGACATATTTGTATTACAAGAACCTCACAAGGCTGGCAAGAAACATCATTTCAAACTCTAGTCATGTGTTGAGGCATGAATTATAAACAATTGAATTAAAGAGTCATGAAATTAAAAAGTCATGAGTACATCAGGCTATCTTGAAGCTGAATAAGGTCAGTGTAAATTTTTTTTTGTATTAGTCTTTGTCTCTTTGTAAGGAGTATTTATTATGCTGTTATATAAGACAAATTTCAGATGCAAGTCTGACAATAAAGTTTTGTGTTGTATTGTATTGTACTTTTACTACATGTTTTGGCAAGTAATAGCGGACTGCATTGAGTATGATTTGTCAAAAGAAATGATTAAAAAACTATCAAATCCATCAAGCAGCAAGATGTTTAACTACATGCTAACAGTGCTAAGTGTATGTTGGCATTTAAATGAATGTAACCACTTATTTGCTAAATTTAGAGGTAAATATATGTCAAATGTTCATCTTGAAATTTACACAGAAATGCAAATAATCAGAAACTTTAATACACAGAATGGTTTAAAAAGATCTTTGTGAAAGTCTTACTTGTTCTCGTTCATGTGAAAGTCTTGTTTTCGTTAAGAAGCGAGACTTTCCAGTGTTCAGTTGGCTGAGCAGAGCACATTGTTTTCCAGCTATGATCTATACCGACTGTTCAAAGTTCAAACGTTCAGTGTTATTTTGAAGCTCAAACAGTGGTGTACAGAACTTACGATTTCATTTAATGTTTAAAACACCTGGATACAACAGCTAATAACCTTCACAATGCATCTTTAATCTTCTTGTGAAAACAGAGCTTGAAAAAGATTAACAAATGTCTTTGACGCATGACGAAATCCTAACCAAACAAGCCAAACTAGCTGTGTGATCTTCTCATAAAAAAGCACAAACAACTTGTAGATGATTTATCCTGGAAAGATGTCAAACATTAAGGTTTGGTTGCTGTATAGTGAGAAGTATGAAAGAAACGGCGAGCTGCCAACAGCAACAAAGGCAGGTGTAATTGGTGACCACGAATCCAGGCTATGACTCACTTCACGGACTTTATCACAAGGCCACAGCTTCCTTTTTCCTCTGTTACTTTCTATAGTTCATATTACCTGCTACAAAAACACTCTGCCTCTGGGAATACAAATGTTATATTTGGAGCTCACTGAGAATTGTTCTTGAATTATTTCTCATATTTTATGGGTGCCACCTTATCCTGAATAAAGTCTGTATAGTTTTATAATGCGATCTTGCGTTTATGATAGTGACAGTGATATAACTGTCTCCAGTGTCAATGTCCAACTCCTACAGCATGAGAAAAAAATCTATTCACTCATCAATTGTCAATCTCAACCAGCTTCCACTGTGGGTTAATCTGATGAGGTCACTGAGAGGTCACCCACTCGTTAGCCTGGGTTGTCATGATAGTTGATGTGGCAGAAATCACCATTTGACAGTTTTACTAATTATACACACAGATATACATTATAAAAATGTTGGGTTCAGCACAGTTCCTTCTTGTTGTCCTAACATAAAAAAAGATTAAGTTAACTTTGAATATAAAATGAATGGGTTAAATATAAAACAATTAAGTCCAAAAAAAAAAAAAAAAAAAAAAAAGTAAGACTTGTGTTGATTGAGGTTATTTTTAATAAGTAGTTTAATAAAGTAATTTAATAAGCAACACAAATTTTTTTGAGTGTATGATCAGGTTATTTGATGCTAATTGTCTTTTTAATTCCGTCACTATTTGGCACAAAGACCACATGTTGCAGGATGTCACTTACATGCTGTCAGATTTTAACTCCCTCACCTATATCTAGCACACTGTACAATACAAACTATCAAAGCAACTTCACAGAGAAAATAGCAGATTTAAATAGCATTTATAGCATTAAACAAATAGCATTTGTTTAAAAGTCCCACAACACTTAACCATTCACCGAAATGTCTATTGTCGTTATATGATGATATAACAATCTGTTATAACAATATATCACGACCCATGGCATCATTTTTAAAGCACAATTGAACTAAAAGTAAAAATAAACGGTTTAAAAAAAGTCTACTATGCTTTACTGCAACTACACAACTTTAGGTTGCAGCAGTTTAAACGTTTTTAGTTATACCACACTAAATATTGTGGAGAAATTATGGTGAATGTTGCAATACTGAGGTTGATTTGTAGTTACCATTTAGCACGGTTTAAGTATAAACCAACATGCTTTTGGTTTAGTGTTTAGAAGAATCACAGTTAATTTTTGTAAGGGTCAAGTTGACCGTCTATTGGTCATAGATTTATTTTTTGTAAGGGTCACGTTGACAATTTATTGGTTATAAAAATTTGCTGGTCAGAGTTCATCAAACATCATCTTTGGACTTTTGTTACTATGTTCAACAAATGCAGGCTATATAAAAGGCATTATGCTAAACTACATTACCAAATGACTTTGTCAATGATAAGGTCCAAAACCTACAGATTTATGCAATGTGCTTTTTTGTTAGGATGCAAGTCAAAGGTTACCTGTAGGCCACATAGATGTGCCACAGAAGCCTGGAGGCCAAAGATACTGAAGCCGTGATGGTACTACAGCCATTCGGGGCAGAGCTGTGGAATAAGTAAACCAAAGAGGAGCATCACATGGCAAAGCAGCCTGTAGGAACAACAATAAAAATACAGATATATTAACAAATGAAATGCATGAATTCAGCTCAAACATACAGACATCCACAGATTCTGGTGCTTAACTGGTCAGTGCAATCACAAGACAAAACTGAGGCTGCTGAAATGTAATGTTTGTAGATATATATATTCAATGCTGATTGACAGAGTATATTTACAGTAGTAACATTTAAGATTTTAAATACATTTGTAGATGCTGCTTTTGCATTTTTACATGGTACTACTGCTCTGGAAAATTAATTTAATTAGTATATTTGTATAGCACATTTTTTGCAACACAACGTTGCCCAAAGTGCTGAACACAATCAAATACTAATTAAAATAAAACCTACATCACATACATAACAATTAAAACATAAGTCAATTTTAAATAAAACAAACATCACTTAAGGAAGCATTCCACTTTTCTTCTTGAATATAGGCTAATTTAACAACTTCCCAAGAGTTAAACAGCTGATTTTACATTTACATTTTTGAATCTGTTGAGATGATCTCTGTGTCGTGTCTTTTTGATTTTTTTTTTTAGCACAGATCATTAAATTGGATCAGACCATTAGCCTCTTGCTCAAAAATGACAAAAGTTTTAATAAATTTCCTATTTAAAGCTTGGTTTTTTTGAAGTTAGATTGTGTACTAAGACTGATAACATAAATAATACCAGTTTTTCTAGGCTTATATAGGAACTATTCTCTTATTTTGGCGTAATAATCAATAAACTTTACTGTTGTAGCATAGCTGCAGCAGATACAAATATAATACACAGCACCTTAGGTCTTTTTTTAAGTGAGATGCTAATGGTCTAATCCGATTCAATGATTTATGCTAAGCTAAGCTAAAAGGTTTATATCAGGGGTGTCCAAACTCAGTCCTGGAGGGCCAGTGTCCAGCAGATTTTTGGTCCAACTTGCCTCAGCACAACTGCAAGGATGTTTCTAGAAACCCAAGTAAGAGTTTTCATTAACTTGCCTAGGTGTGTCTGATTGGGGTTAAAACTAAACTTTGCAGAACACCGGCCCTCCAGGATTGAGTTTGGACACCCCTGGTTAATATGAATGAATGACGTAACATACATATCTTTTTACAAATAGGCTTCCAGGTATTATAACATATTATTTGTAGCTTTTCTGTAATTCTGGCGATTGACATCTACAGAGCCATCATTTATAAACTATAGGCCAATTTTTGAGGACATTGTAGTGTGAAGTTGACTCTTATGGCTTTATTTTAACAATCTAGATGCAAAGTCTAAAGTGCATCTAATTTATTTTAGATGCTCAAAATAGTAACGTGCTAACAATGCGCCTTAACACTCCTTTATAGATCAGCACACCCATGAGTCCACAAAGTGGGGCTTTACTATTTAAAAAACGTGGCACAAGGCAGGAAAATTAGGCTTGCGCTGGTCTGAAAATAGCAACAAATCGGGCCAAATGCGTCTTTTGCCTTATTGCGCCGGGTGTATAGGGTCCTTAATCTGTGGTCATGCAAAAAGGACCTCAATGTGGGTCTAAAAAAGGTCAAAATAGTCTAACAAATGCACCATCAACAAATAGATTGTTTTAACATGCACTGCAGTTTCATTCTCTTTTAGAAATCTTTACTAAAATGAACATATGACCTTTTTTAGACTTCTAGACTTTGTCTAAATATTGGTAAAGTACTTAAATCTCTATAATAATTCCTTCATTCATTTTCCTTTGGCTCAGACTCTATTTCAGAGTTTGCCAAAGCAGAATGAACCACCAACTATTCTGGCATATGTTTTACGCAGCGGAAGCCCGTCCAGCTGCAACCCAGTACTGGGAAAAATCCAAACACACTCATTCACATTCACACACATCACTACGACCAATTTTGTTTACTGAATTCACTTAGCACGTTTTAAATATAGGACTGTGGGGGAAACCGGAGCACCAAAAACCCACACGAACACAAGGAGAACATGCAAACCCCATACAGTAATGACAACTGGCCCAGCCAGGATTTGAACCAGCGACCTTCTTGCTGTGAGGTGCTAACCACTGAGCTGTCTCTCTCTAATATTTATTCAAATGAATGGAATTTGTTTACACTCCGGTTTCCCCTACAAGTCCAGACATGTGGTACAGCTGAATTGGGTAAGTTAAATTATCTGTAGCGTATGTGTGTGAATTAGTGTGTATGGAGGTTTTCCAGAGATGGGTTGCTGCTGAAAGGGCATCTGCTGTGTAAAACATATGTTGGATAAGTTGGTGGTTCATTCCGCTGTTGCAACCCTAGAATAATAAAGGGACTAAGCCGAAAATTTCCAATAATTTGTTTCCCATTTATTCTAAAAGGTAAAACATTTGAATGGACAAAAATAATAGTATTGAAATTATATGAACTCATTTCAATTTAGCATCTATAAAATATTAAGCAAGATATTTGCTTAAAAAGCCTAAGAGTGCACAGATTTTTCTAAATAAAACACAAAACACCAGCTTGATTATAATCGGCTTTATTGAGGTCCTCAACATTTATATTTGCTACATTCAATTATTTACAAATCAATGTGTGAATCAAATCTGCACAAACGCACACACACACACACACACACACACACACACACACACACACACACACACACACACACACAAACACACACTACAAACACTTTCTAATATCAAACCTCCAATGGCACATATCAATGGCTCAATATAACAGCGAGTGAGAATAAGATTACATCTCAGATTAAAAAAGTATACACTGTGTCTTTAATAATAAAATCAACAACAATCTATAATAATAATAATAATAATAATAATAATACAACTAAATTGTTGATGTGTTAAACATATTTCAACATTAAATAAAAAACTTCATGTTTCACAGGATAAATCCATTGTTCAGAATTCTTCACATCCTGAACTAAAGCCGCACATGGACAATATGTAAAACTCATTTCACGGCCACGCCAGAAAAGGCTGATCTCAGGTCAGTGTGAGTAGGAGGAAGATCAAAAACTGTGATTAAACCCACAGAATGAGCAAGTCTTTGTTTTTTGTTGTTGTGTTTTTTGGACTAACAGGACTGTGACCTGATAAGGACAAGCAGCACTGAGAGAATTTGCCATGAAAGTGATAATGATGAAGATGAGGAGGGTGATGGTGATCTTTAGTTTGGCCTGTTGTTGAACAGAGTGACAGGATGGAGCCTTGCCTTCATCTCTCGTCGGATCTGGCACCACGAGCACGGCCCACAGCAGCAAGTGTACACACAGTCATTGCAGATTGAATCCTGTGTGCGGGAGGACAAGTTATGAGTTATGAGAAACAATATAAGGTCCCCGAACACTTTTACAATGTGATGGATATGATAATAGAGTGCTGCAGCTATCATGTCAAACCACATAAAGCTACTTTTCTCAGGTCTTCCCAACGAAAACGTTCAATTCAAAAAAGACAACTTTTTGTTCTTAAACATATACTGTAAATGATATAAGCATGTTTTTTTGTTACATTGACTTCTTAAAGTAAAAGGCACAGTTGAAAGTGAAATCTCTCATAATTTAGGTTTTCGTCAATTATTCAAAACCTATTTGAGTTCCTTTCTTCTGTTGAACACAAAAGAAGATAATTTGAAGAATGCTAGGTGATGGTACACAATGACTTCAATATTATTGTTTAATAATATACATTTTTTCCTACTATAGAAGGTCAGTGGATACCATCAAACATCATTTTTCAAAATATCTTCTTTTGTATTCAACAGAAGAAAGAATCTCATAAAAGTTTAAAGCTACATAAAGGAGTAAATGATGTGGTAGTTAAAATCTTCGGGTGAACTAACCATTTAATCTGCCTTTTTTCAGGGTATACACATTAAACTTTATGTTTTAAGTTAGTTTTAATAAACTTTAAGCAAAGGCAGTGACTGCCTTGAGTGTGTAATTTACAAACATGATTTCATAATAAGAGATTACTAGACCATTTTTAAAAGTATCATCAAGCTATGCCGCCTTTTACTTTCATAAACCCAATATTTTCTTACTTTGATGCCGTATCGTCGTCGTGTGGAAACCCTCATGGAGAGCGTGATTGGAGGAATACAGCCGAAACTGTCCAGCAGAGGGAGACACAGGCACTCTCCGTGATCTCTGGCTGTAATGCAGGCGAAACAAGGGAAACACCACACGGAGAAACAACCTGCAGAAACACCACAAATTGATTTTACTGTTCTTGTATACTTTCTAAACAGCTAGACAGTCAGCTTTTAGAGCGCCTGCTATGACTGTAAATGTGTCTGAAGATAGTGTTTCTACCATTTTATTTCTTACAGCTCATTTCTCCCCTGCAAGATGCCACAGAGTGCACTGTTCTCTGATATCTACACAGAGATAGTTATGGGACTTTGGTAAGTTGAAATTCCCAAGAAAGAGTTTTATATACTCATTTCTAGCCAGAGGAATTACCTCTAGAATGAAATACTTAGGTTTGACTGTATTTGGAAAGGAGAATATTAATGAGCTCTCCTCTGAGGCTCTCCAACTTTTGTCAGTGTCTGCTCTTACAAACACACACATACAGTGTGGTGATTTTGGTCTACTCGGAAATACACACATTTAAAATAATCATAATTTAAAAGCTTAGTAACTTAAAAATGCATAAACATGCACTAAAACAGAAACATGTAGCAGTATAATATGTTAATAGCAAATGTGAACATGTCTGTTGCCACATTAGAAATACTCGCCAATTTTCTCAATATTAAAATGTCAAAAGATCCAGTTAAACACATCTTTACCATAACCCATAATAACCAATCTTTACCCTATTTAGCATTCGGTGCGAGCTGTAATGAGATTTAATGCAATGTTTCACAAAGTTAATGTCCTGCTGGTCCTGTATTCAAAATAAGAGTCCCATATACATAGTAAGTAATGCAAGCATAGATAAACTTAATTTAAAAATAAGGTCTAAAAATCATTTTTGTAATCTCACTAGGAAAATTTTGCCATTTAAATGGTGCCTGGAACATGCAATTAATCATCCCATGTGCAATGGAACAGTTGGTGTTTTGTCTTGGCTGCCTGTTTTTCACCAGGATTTTACACAATTTTACATGAGAACTAGTAAACAATGCTGTTTTAGGCTTATGGTAAGCCATTTTCTTGCACTGAACACTTACTACTACATGCTTTGTAACAAGTCAAATGAGGTTTAAAAAAATCGCTTTTGGAAATATTTTTTGGAAATATTTTGGTGCAATATTATGGATGAATTTTGTATTTTAATGTTTTTTATTGGTTTATTTGTTTTGTGTTCGATGGACCCCAGGTAGTGGCTAATGGGGATGCTGATAAATAAATAAATACAATTATTCATCTATACCCAAGTATATCCAGATTTTCATTCTATGGCACCTTTACGTTAACTATAGTTCTGCTATAAAAAAACTAACAAAGAATATTAAACTACACAAATTAACCATGGTTTTGATACTCTAACCATAGCTAAACCTATGTATTTACAGAGTAAAAGTATTGTATTAAAAAAAATCAGTAAAATAGTGGTTATACTGTACAGATGCAATCAATATGCTAAAAAACAGTTCCAGTCAATTTACCATTGTATGTATATACTGAATACGTTTGGTTACAAACAATATTTAAACATTATTTTTGCTGTTCAAACAAAGAAGTGCTCTAGAAACGCTCTCTTCAATCACATTGACATTGATGTTCAACAGAACAGAAAAGGTCATACAGGTTTGGAACAGCCCGAGGGTAAGTGACAGAATTTTCGTTTTGGATAAATTAAATAAAACTAAACACAGGGTGACTTACATTCATTGACATTGTCGCATTCGCAGATGCTGGTGCTCCACTGATCTGATGCTGCAGCCACTACCAGAGGCTTGGGCTGCTGAATTATCATCTTGGATGCCATGATGAGCGTTTGTCTAATTCAACTCTGAAATCCCAAAAGCAAAACATAAGTAAGATTCTAAAGTTTTAACAAATAATACAAATGTCACTGTGAAAGTCAGCGAAAAAAATATTACATGATAATAATAATGCATAAAATACAAACAAATAAATGATCAACTTTTTTAAATACATTTTTTTTACAAAGCAGCCTTCAAAAAGCAAAATAGCAACTCTTAAAACCCCAGAAAACTTCTGCAGCAGATTTTGGTCTCACCTGTGACAAAGAGGCAAGTTCAGGCGTCTGACACCTCGGAGGAGATGCTGTCACTTTATGTAGAAGGGGAGGGAGAAATTGGGGAATGTCTATAGACGTAGGTTTACACTCGCACACATACACACGTACGCACATTGTGAAGGATGCTTATCATAGACAGTTTTGCCGCTGTGTTCTCATCCGACTGGAGCATGGCAGTAATGACAATAATGCCAGGTATGCAAGATCAATAGATTCTGGAAATTGACCAGAAATACCAAATGCACAGGACTTTAGGTTCTTTTCGTGCGAGCGGTAAAGCTGTTATTTTTAAGTGACTATTCTGAAATTACGAGAAAGTACCTAAAACGTCAAGTTTTAGTCAACTGTTAGTCAACTAAATAAAAAAAAGTATTTATTAAATATCAGGAAAGATCATAGAAATAGGATTTCATTTGTATATATTAATTCATTAGCAAAGTTTTTTAGTCACGCTTTACAATAAGGTTTCATTAGTTCATGTATTTACTAACAATACTTGTACAGCATTTATTAATCATAGTTCAGCATTTACTAATGCATTCATACAATCTAAATTCATGATTGTGAACTACCAATAAACAACTTTTCATTAACTAATGTTAACTAACTCTAACAAATCCTGTAATAATAAGTGTATTGTTCATTGTTTGTTCATGCTGGTAAATGCATTAAGTGACATTGACTAATACAACATTATAGTATGCTATGCTTGATCAGTAATTAAATGTTGACAAATGCAGTTTTAAGGATGTATTAGTAAAATTTGAAACAAACTTTAGAAAGTAGTGCATTACAATATTAATTTACTCCCCCAAAAAAGCAACTAGTTGCATTACTTTTTTGGTGAGTAATGCGTTACTTTTGAGTTACATTTGCGTTCTGACCTGGCTGAGGCCTGATCTCTTTTAGAACTTGCAGGTTTTTTTCTTTTCTTCTTTTTTCCCTCTGCAATTAACAACACACTGTTTAACCCTCATTTACCTTTAAAAATTGTTTAATATTATTACTTGAATTTTTAAAAGTAATGCGTTATTTTACTCGTTACTTAGATAAAGCAATAATAATAATAATAGCTGAATTCTTTTATCTTTGCCATGATGACAGTAAATGATATTTGACTAGATATTTTTCAAGACACTAGCATTAAGTTTAAAGTGACATTTAAAGGTAAAACTAGGATAATTAGGTTAACTAGGCAGGTTAGGGTAATTAGGCAAATCATTGTATATTGTATTTGGTTTGTTCTGCAGAAAAAAAAAAAATTAAGCTTAAAGGGGTTAACAATTTTGAACTTAAAATGTTTATAAAAAATTAAAAACTGCTTTTATTCTAGACAAAAATAAAACTGATAAGACTTTCTCCAGAGAAAAATGTAACTGAAAGTAAAATTTTAAATACAAAAATAAAAACTTGTGTCAACTATTTAACTAAAACATTCATGCGGTGAAATTAACGTCACAGTCTTTATACAGACACAGGGTTTTATTTGTGGCAGCATTGCAATTACAACATAATTATTGATTAAACCTCAGTTAAGAGTATTTTTCATAATAAGCAAGAACACTGTATGAAAACTGTGTGAAAACATTTGATTGTTCCAGCAGTACTGACGATGATAACGATAGACCAGATATCATTAAATGCCAGTACATTGTGTCTCTGTTTACATTTCCCAGTCTTTTGGTATGTGAAGTAGCGTTTACGGTCAAGCAGAAAACAGTGCTGTACACATGCATTCAAAATCATCTGCTAGCCATCTGCAAATGACTAATAAAAAGATGCGCACGTGTACTGCTTAACTGAATAATATGTTCAGGTTTCTGTCAAAATAACTGAATAACACAGAATACTATAATAAATATTAACGTATAGGCTTCTGTTAAAATAAAAAAATACAAAAAATGAAAAATAAAAATAATGTGTTCTCCTTTCTGATGAAAATGACTAAATAACACAAAATACTGGACTAAATTTTATATTACATTTTGAACTGAAGCAAATCTGTTAAAGTAAAGAAAATGTCGCCATGTGTTTAAAACATGAACATACATGAATGTTATTTAAGACAAAAAAATGTACTGTTGTTTCACAATTTTATATTAAAATCAATTAAAACTGACTACATTTTCACACTAAGTTAATTAAAACAGAGATTATAGAAACCAAAAATGACACTAAACTTAAACATTTATACTTTAAGATGTTTCTGTATCACATTTGAAGATACTTTGACAGTCGTAATACATTTTGAGATATTTCTTTTAAATAAATGAATGAGGAAGATACACAAAGTGACCTGCAGAAATGTGCCACATCTGAGTACCAAAAACAATGTTTGTAAATCTAATTATAAATACTAGTTTTATTTGCAGTATTTTATTCATTCTAACAATTATTAATTTGAGCAAATCCTGGGAAAGCACTATAGGTTTATTATGTGACTACTAAATCATAATTATCAGTGTGTAATTTGAGGCACAGGACTGTGATGACTGCTTTTAAACAAAATCAAATGTATTTTGAAGCAAAAATCATCCACACAAACTCAAGTGCAATACTGTGAGTTTGAATCACTTATAATGCGCATTTTAAAAATGCAACACGTGAAAACACCTTCCCAAGTTTGCATTTCAAATCTGTGGTTAACAGAAGAAAAGCATCCCAAAAGAGAAGTTTCCCACCAAAATAAAAAAACAATTCAGCATTTGGAATCAAATAGTGCTACTTATTATTAACATAAAATAATTACACTAATTATTAAAATATCAATTATTTTATACTTATTTGATTCAATTTATTAACATGAACAAACAATACATTACATTTTTTCATCTTTGTTAATGTTAATGAAAAAAAGTTGTTCATTGTTAGTTAACACAAAATGTGTTAAGCACATTTTTGGATTTTAAAAATGCATTAGTAGATGTGAACTATTATTAATAAAGCTTTACATCAAGGTTCATACATAATTATTTCACTAACATAAACTAATGGAACTATTTTAGTGGAATAAAACAGTAATGATACTTTTAAAGATGTAATTCCTACACTGTAAAGACTTTACAGATCTTTTTATGTTGCTTTAACTTATTTTAATAAGTTAATCAGGTTTCATCAACATTTAAGTTCTACAAAGAAGTGTTATTAAGTTAAATTTTTAGTCAGTTTGATTGATATAAGCTGATATGTCTAGAAAAGTTAATTATATTCAACTAAAAAAAATGTAAGGCAGCAACAATATTTTACAGTGTATAATTAAAAATGAATATCTTTCCCCACTTTGTTTTTGATAAATGTTTACACATTCTGGTTTATGACTTATCCTGAATTATTGGACACAATGAAACAAACGAAATATGCACAGTTTATCACAATTCTTTTTATTTCAACACATGTGCAATGACAAATTATTTAAAAAAACATTCTAAACGAAAAGCATCGAAACAATGAACAAGACTTTACAAACAAGTAATTATCTCACAGTTGATATAAACAGAGTGCCATTGTGCTCAAAGCCTAATAACACATTCATAATATTATTACTATAAATATTACATCATTTAGCCAAGCATTTTCAGTCTTCATTCCTTATCAGACGACAGATGAAGTCCACACACTACTCTTGGGTCAGTACTGAATTCCAAATAGTAAGTTTTACACTTTCCCAATATGCTTACAAAGTTTATTTGATTTCGTTAGTTAGGGTTAAAGATGATGATGATGATGATTGAAGCTGGTCAAGTGCTTTATTTGACTTTGTTGCAGAAGAGGCTGACCGGGTGATTGCGAGACTTTAGTTCGCGTCTAATCTGACAGTAAGAACACGGCCCGCAGCAGAAGGACAGCACACAGTCATTGCAGATAGAGTCCTGTTACAGAGACACAGAGAGAGATAGAGCATCAGTAACCCAATATACAATTCAGTATGATCAGAATGACACATCTAGAATTTTAGTAATTCAATTCTAGCATATGATACCAGTTTTTAATATTCAATATCACAACTAATTCATTTTAAATCAACTTTTTTCTTGCATGTTATTCATACATTTTGCGTACTTTCATGCATGAAGTTCATATTGTAAATAAAGCATTTCTTATATTTGTATCTACAAATTAATTGAGTTAAACTGCATCAATATATTTACTTGTATGTTGTTATACAAGTATATATATATATATATATATATATATATATATATGTAATACTTCTTTAATATGTGTATCTAGAAACTGAAAAAGAGTTAATAAATTGCAGATATATTATACAAAAATACTATTTTGTGAAGTTTATTGGATTATTTAGATTAATAATCCACTGAATAATTCACTGAAACAAAACACTTTTATTCAGCAAAAATGTTATTGCACTCTTGCCTGAAGAGCAAAAACTTAAACAACTCATTTAAATTAAATGTAATTAAAATGTTCTACTTATATTTAAGACTTATTTTATGTTTCATTATGTAAATACAAGTCTTTTTGCTAACATTTATACATTAATTTGTTTGTTTTAATGATGTCAAAAGTTTTTTTTGAAGTGAAATCCAAAATGTTCACCTCAATCCCGTAGGTGCGTCGGACAGACACTCTCATAGCCATAGTGATTGGTGGGCAGAGGCCAAAACTGTCCAACAGAGGCAGACAGAGACATTCTCCATGATCCCGGGCTGTGATGCAGGCGAAACACGGAGAACACCAGACAGCAAAACAACCTGCCGCACAAGATCACGTAAATCAGTCACCACACATTCACAAAAAACAATTACATACACACTATTGAGCCTCACTAATGTTACGTGAAGGCATGAAAAGTACTCACATTCATGGAGGTTGTCGCATTCACAGATGCTGGTGGACCACTGGTCGGAACCAGGAGCCAAAACTAGTGGCTTAGGCTGCTGAATGATCATCTTAGTAGCCATGATGACTAGAGCTCTGTTAACACAAATTAAATAATGCTTAGAAAAAGTGAAAAATGCATGTAATGAAAAGGTATTAGCTCTTGTTATGAAACCCATTGAGTGCAGTTCTTACCGTAAGTGAGGAGATAGATGAATAAGACAGGCTTCGAGGATGAGGTTGAAGACGAGACTGAGCGCTTTTGAGAGTCTGACTGTGCTTTATAGAGTTGACAGTGGCCAAACACACGTACACACGTGAAGAGACAGGAGATTAGCATCAACGCTACGTCTCCACACAGTCAGAACAGGTTCATCGGGTACATGCTTTTCTCTTTATCGATAGATTTCAGGTGATTACCTCTTCTGCTGACGTGAGAAATATTGAGTTTTTTATGAAAATACATACTGAGAATTCTTGGTGAGAAAAAAAGGAACGTAAAAAGAACAAATGCAGTATGTTTACTTATGAGTGTTCACATTTAAAGGGATAGTTCACCTGAAGATAAGAATTTACAGACCATATGCTCAAACCTCAAGTTGTTCCAAACTTTTATACGTTTTTTTTTTATTCTGATGAACATTGGAAACCAGCGGCCATTGAAATCCATAGTTGGAAAAAGAAATACTATGGATGTCAATGGTTACAGGCTTCTAACATTCTTCAAAATATCTTTCATAAGTTCATAAAGGATTGAGGCTTAGTAAATGATGACAAAATCAAAATTTTTGGGGGTAGTTATCACCTACCCAATAGGGATGCGTTTTACTTGTTAAGTGTTGCGATAATGATTTTTCATTATCTAAATATAATTTCAAAATAATATTTTATGAATTTTATGCTATTTTATTTCTTACAAAATAATTTATTCATATAATGATACTAAAATAAACAGGCAACATCTTTTAGATTTGCGTATTTTTAAATCATGTTTTGAACATACAAATTGATATTGGAAACATAAATTGTGCATGTAGGAATTTTATTTTGTAAATGTATTATTTTTGAGACTGATCTGGCTCCATAGTTACCAATAAATTCTTAGCAAGAATGCAATTTTTTCTGTTTATTCTGGAAAAGGCATCCAAGTCAAATGTACAGGGTGGGCCATTTATATGATACACCTTAATACAATGGGAATGGTTGGTGTTAATTACGTCCTGTTTGTGGCACATTAGTATATGTACAAGGGCTTGTGAGAACTCATTAAAGAATAAAGTTACGTTTAAAACCAAGCACACCATTGTTTTTCTTGTGAAATTCCCAATAAGTTTATTAGGTTTTATCCATATAAATAGCCCACCCTGTATTAGCAATTTTACATCTAACCAAAAGAAATACACATCTGAGTTTGACAAGTCAAGTCAAAAATTGAGTTAGACCATCATTTCTACCGCACAAGACACAATGTTCTTCCCTTTTAGATCCAGTCTCACGCTTTTTCACAGAACTCCACACGTACGTGCCAGACGTGAAAGTGTGTTGAATAGTATACGCTATTATGTATAGAAGAAGAAAGTTTGCTACACAAAAAGCAATCAAACAGATGTCACTCAGGAATGGACCCCCCTGAGGCAACACACAGGTGTAGACCCTCCTCCATGCTAATAAAGCTATTTGAACTTTTGTTTGTACAAGTGCTGGAATTCACACTTCACTGCAAAGAGCTGTAATTGCATGATGATTTAATATATCATTACTGACCTAATGAATGACGGAATTGCTTCAAAATCACCACTTTCCTAAACTGCTGCATTTTCTACATATTCCACTGTTAAATATGCAATTGTTGAAATACTACTCTTAGAAAGCAACTCAGTCGTAGTTGTTACACACTTGGGAGAGACTGCAAAAGCTAGTATGCAAATTTTCTAAAGGGATTGTTCGATAAGTGACAGTGGCGACAATACTGATGTTAAAAATGCCTTGTTGATTTTAAAGGTCAAAGGAGATTCGCTTTGAGCTGATAGACAGGCAACGGTATCTCAACCACACTTTACAACTGAGGTCTGCAGGAGAGCATCACAACAAACTTTGAAGCAGATGAGCTACAACAGCAGAAGAAGAAGTGCACACCGATGACACTCCTGTCAGCAAACAACAGGCTGCAAATCACACAGGCTCAAAATTGGGTAAGGTTTTATTTACATAAAAATTTAATAGCTTTAATCAAAACAATAAAGGGCTGCAGTTGTGTCAAGATTTGGTTAGTTACACGTATGCAGTGTTGGAGAAAGTTACTTTAGAAAGTAATGCTTTACAATATTGTGTTACTCCCCCCAAAAAGTAACTACCTTTGCTACTAAGTTACTTTTGGTAAGTAATGCGTTACATTACTTTTTTAAATTTACTTAAGTTTTTTAAAGCTTTTTCTTACCTGCTAAGGCTTGATCTCTTTCAGAATTTGCAGGGCTTTTTTAAATGTATTTTTTTAAATAGAGGAGCTCTTTAACTAACAACACACTGTATAACCTTTATTAACCTTTAAAACATATATCAAACCAAATAAAATCACTTTTATTGTCACATCATCAACAGCATGTGTGTTATGATGAGTGAAAAGCTTAGGTGCTGGCTCCAGACATTACAAAATACAAATAGTGCAAATACAACGGCAGTGCAAAATACAGACAGTGCAAATAAAATGAAAGTGTAAATACAACAACAGTGCAAATACAACGACATTATGCAAAATACAACAGCATATAAACCCCCCCCCCCCCAAAAAAAAATGTTGGAAAAAAAAATGTTGGATAAAAAAAAATATGAATGTTGGATAATGTTATCTTCTGAGAACTTCCTGACCCCAAAGCTCCACATGCCATACGTATATACAGATTAATAAAACTTTAAATCGATGCATTTTGCTACTTATTAAAAAAGTCAAATCACAGTCCCTTCAGAATATTCTCTTTTCTGTTTCTTCAATGCGCTCAAATTAAAGAGAATATTTCCGTCGCAGGAATGTACACTGTAAAAAGAATTTATTTTATCCGCTATTAAGTTAATCCGTTATTAACATAAAATAACAGACGTTAGATTACAGAAATTTACTGGAAATTTAAATTTAATAAATTTAAATATTCGTTATTTTATGTATTTTTTCTTGGCACCCCAGCAGCTGAAAAAAAAAGTAAAATAACAGAATTTTTTTACAGTGTCATCTTTATTTCTGTCTCTTCCTGCATTTTCTGTGTGGGATTTAATGTGACTACATCAATTTAATTGAGCAATTTATTTTTTAAAAGCGAATGAACTAAGCTAATAAGTAACTTGGGATTACATTCATATTTTAAAAAGTAACTCAAATATTATTACTTAATTACGAAATCTGGACCTCACTAGAACTTCTATGTTGTTAAGCGGCTTTGACACAATCTACATTGTAAAAGCGTTATAGAAATAAGCATGAATTAAATTGTGTTACTTTACTCGTTACTTAGAAAAGTAATATTATTACGTAACTCGTGTTACTTGTAATGCGTTATCCTCAACACTGCCTGTTTGCATGTAGTTTGGCACAAGAAGGTGGCTTGGTTTTGATCAGGTTTCATTGCAGGTTTCATCTTAGTGTGCTTCGCATGTGAGTGGGAAAACATTTTTCAGACTTTTAGTCAATAATTTAAAAAGATTTAGATTCAGTAACTTGACTTATCATGCCATTATATACTGCTACTGTCTGATGAATGATGATGAAGTGCTTCTTCTCATCCCCACTTATAAGTTGGTTTAGATAAAAGCTTCAACAATTTCTGTTTAACGGAAAGAAGATTTTTTTCAACACATTTCTAAACATAATAGTTTTAATAATCAACTTCTAATAACTGATTTCTTTAATCTTTGCCATGATGACAGTAAACAATATTTGACTAGATATTTTTCAAGACACTTCTATACAGCTTAAAGTGACATTTAAAAGCTTGACTAGGCTCTAATAATATTGACCCTAAAATGTTTTGTTTTTAACTGCTTTTGTTGTAGCCGAAATAATCAAATAAGACCTTCTCCACAAGAAATAATATTATAGGAAATACTGTGACAAATTCCTTGCTCTGTTAAAAATCATTTGTGGAATATTTAAAAAAGAACAAAAAATAAATAAATCACAGGAGGGCTAATAATTTTGACTTCAACTGTATATTGCTCCAAATGAAAAGTTTGAACACTAAAAGCAATTTTGTGTAAAATTCGTCTCGTTACTAATAATTTATTTCTATTATGAAAACTGTAATTATTTTATATTGTGTTATATAAGAAATGTATGTATTCCAGTAGAATTCCAATAGTATTCCATTCCAAAAGCAAATAGGATATAGTGTATATAGATATGACTACATTAGTGGCAGCTGTATATGTATACACACTAGTTACCTACATTATAAAATATTAATTTTTAAATAAATATTGTTTCGTCTAAACCAGGGGTGTCCAAACTCAGTCCTGGAGGGCTGGTGTCCTGTTTAGTTCCAACTGCTTCAACACACCTGCCTGTAAATTTCTAGTATACCTAGAAACAGGGTACATACAATTTTTACTACTAAAACTCCAGGACTTTTCCATGACTTTTCAAAAACTTGCAGGTAAATATTCACGACCTAATGTTTCATGTGATGTCTGCGTACATGTGGTAAATAAGAAAAAATGCATGTTCAAATTTATTACATCATATCAAAAAAACATTGTTTTATGTTTATTTTATACCTGTAAAATAGTTTTTAGGAAATATCTTGTGTGAACATTTTTAGAAATTCACAACTTATTGAATTAGCACAAGTTAGCCTTTAGCACCCACACTATCTTACAATAGCTTCTTTTTGCTCCACACAATGAATGCAGGTGAAGGGATAGACATCGCAATTGTATTTGAAATTTACCCAATATTATCATCTCAAATATATTCAGGTACACAGATATTTGTTAAACAAATTTCCATGACTTTTCCAAAACATTTTTTTGGTTTATCAGGCCTGGAAAATGCCTTGTCAAAAGTCCATGTTTTCCAGGACCGTATGAACCCAGAAGAAAAAAAACTTGATTAGCTACTGTAGTTCAAGTGTGCTTAACTGGGGTTGGAACTAAACTTTGCTGGACACCGGCCTTCCAGGACTGAGTTTGCACACCCCGGGTCTAAACTTTTGCTGCATCAGCAGGGTTTTCACCACTAAGTTTCTGATAATGATAGCTCTTATTCTTCAACAAAGGGTA